CCCCCCCCCCCCCCGAAATTTTAAACCCTTCCCAAAAAAAATTTCTGGCTGCGGTCCTGGTTTACACTGCCACATAATCCAGTTTAAAACTGATAATGTGGATTTTAAATGGCAGTGTAGATGGGGCCTGTAACATCCTCAGGTTTTGGGGCATTGTATAGAGGAAGGCAGGGAATTCAGTTTCTACAGCGTTGTCAATGGATTACAGATAACACCTCTATCTTACTGCCTTTACATCCTTGCTTGGGTACCTACACATTATGTACTGGAATCAGTAGTACAGCAACAGAGGTCATACTCGGTGTTTAAATTGCCAGGCTGGAGGGCTGGGGGTAAAGGGAAAGTTATTGACTCTGATAGCAGTCAAATACAGCTCTCCCTTGGGCAGGAAATATCTGACAGCAGCCATCAATCAAGTTAAATAATTACATTACTTTCCGTTAGCCTCAGTCTAATATTGCCTTTTTTGTTTATGTGCCCATTTGTGTGTATTTAGCAATCACATTATTTTAAAACCAGTGAAAGATTAAGTTTGTATAGCAAACCTTTGTGTTACCCATGGCAATTTTAATGGGGGCTCTTCCAATTTAGGACCCATGAAAATCCTTCCTCAGTGTCTTGCTGTGACAAATATTAATTTTCATGGATGGTGTATACTTGTCAGGCTTGATCTGTTGTCAGAAGTTCAATCATTACAATTTGTCTAATATTTTTGACCTTGTTAGGGACAGTACCACTCCACTGTTTTGTTTTGAATGTCCCATAATAAAAACAAATAAATAATCTCTCTTTCACCTGCATTTCCTTTTCTTCCAGTGGATGATCCCTTTTACGATAATGCTGGTGACGATCCCAAATGTGTTCCTTGCCTACATGGTGGCTTTTGTATCTGGGCTGAGCACTGCAGCATCAATGCTGTTGCCATGGTAGGACAATCTTGTGCCTGGGCTTGCGTATGTACCAAGTAGAGATTAGTGGTTCTCAAAACTTACAAGAAAATTTTGTTATTTGTACAAGATATCAGTCTTGGTGGTACAGGCTGAACATCCCTTAACTGGAATTCTGAAATACTCCTCCCTCCCCCTATATCTTGCAGTTGCAGCAAGAGGCAAAGTGGATATGATCTTGGCACTTCATTGATGAGGAATCGTCAATTAATGGAGGGAAGAAAGCAGAGATCACGATTATTATTATTAGTACTAGTAGTAGTAGTAGTATCATTATATTGGTATGCAATTTGACCTGAACTCTTTGTTGTGGGAGGGGCTGCAGACCATGTGTTCCGAACTGGGCTTGTTCAGGGCTCAGACTCCATTTTAGAAGTAGTGTACCTTTAAAAGCCAGCAGGAACAGTTTTTTTGGACTTCAGTAGGAACAGAATGGTGTACAGAAGCCATTCAACTCCATTGGATTTTCAGACTAGAGACTCTATTAGACTCTCAAAACTGAGAGTTGCTTTGGACTATGGACTGCTGATTATAAGATTAATGCCCTGTGTTACTTACACAGAAAAAACGAAAAGAGCACTTCTGTGTGTGTGTGTGTGTGTGTGTGTGTGTGAGTGAGTGAATGAATGAATGAATGAATGAATGAATGAATGAATGAGAATGCTGGTGAATGCCATTTCCCCAAAAGGCATTTTGGGAATTCAAATTCCAAACTCCAGAATTATGCACATAAATGACTGAGATACTGACACTTTTGCTTTCTTCTGGTTCAATGTATATACATACTTTGTTTCAGCCACAAAATGATTGAAAACATAGTGTATAAAATTACACTAGACTGCATATATATGAATATATATGTTGTTGTTGTTGTTGTTCATTCGTTCAGTCGTCTCCGACTCTTCGTGACCTCATGGACCAGCCCACGCCAGAGCTCCCTGTCGGCCGTTACCACCCCCAGCTCCCTCAAGGTCAGTCCAGTCACTTCAAGGATGCCATCCATCCATCTTGCCCTTGGTCGGCCCCTCTTCCTTTTGCCTTCCACTTTCCCCAGCATAATTGTTTTCTCTAGGCTTTCCTGTCTCCTCATGATGTGGCCAAAGTACTTCAACTTTGTCTCTAGTATCTTTCCCTCCAGTGAGCAGTCGGGCTTTATTTCCTGGAGGATGGACTGGTTGGATCTTCTCGCAGTCCAAGGCACTCTCAGAACTTTCCTCCAACACCACAGCTCAAAAGCATCGATCTTCCTTCGCTCAGCCTTCCCTAAGGTCCAGCTCTCACATCCGTAGGTTACTACAGGGAATACCATGGCTATATATATATAGCCATGAATATATATAGGAAACAAAATAAATTTTGTATTTAAAAGTAATTCTCATCTCCAAGATACAGTATGTCATTATCTATGTATATGCAGATCTGAACATTTTGGAAAATGGATATCTCCAGAGATTTTATGATCTTTGGAAAGGGATGACCTTGTTAGAAGTCACAACTTCTTGAAAAATGATGCCATAACCTCTTGGTAAAAGCATGACCTGTTAGAATCATAATCTTTTGGGAAAACGGCATTCATCAGCAGCCTAATACACACACACATATACAGCAGAGTTTCAGAAGTGTTCTTTGAGTCGCCCAAAAAAATATAGTGTCCCTTAAAATATATTTGTCTTTAAATCATGCTCTCAAGAGACAAAAATAAGCAGTTGGTTTGCTCACAAAATTCATTGATTCAGCATATAGGAAAGTACTTTGCATATCAATCCAGTTACAAATAGATTTGAAGTTGTTTTTCTGTGTAGATAACACTGGGCATCATTCTTATAATCAATAGCCCATAGCCCAAAGCATCTCTGTCTAGTCGGAAAGTCCAATGGAGTCTAATGACTTCTGTACAGCATACTGTTTCTACTGAAGTCCAAAGCAAACTTTTCCTGCTGGCTTCTAAAGGCACACTACTTCTAAAATGGAGTCTGAGCCCTGAACAAGCCCAGTTCTGATCACATGATCTGCAGCCCCTCCCACAACAAAGAGTTAAGGTCAAATTTCATCAATATATAATGATGATGATGATGATTTATTTAATAATATAAATAATAACTTATGTATATCCTGCCACCATCTCCCAAAAGGGACTCGGGGCAGCTTACAAGGCACTCCAAGGGCAGCATAATAAATATGGTACATGAATATAAAACAATACACACATATACAATACAGTAAGCAATCTGAAATATACACACACACACACAAATATCTAGTGGAGGTTTTAGAAGCTTGCTATTTCCAACACAAAAAGACTGGAAATCCAAAACAATTCTGGTCCCAAGCATTTCAGATAAGGGATACTCAAACATTATCTGTAAGATTAACTTGCTCAAACCATTTCAAAAAGAGAGACCACGTGGAACTTCACTACCTCCCAGGGCAAAACGGTCAGAAATTGCTGATCTGTAAGAACTGCTCTACGAGTCTGAAAAGTGAAAATATCTGAGCGTCAAGCAATAAAACTTCCCCTTGTTAAACTACGTATGCAAATAGTCATGATGTAATGGGGCTAAAACCGCTAAAGGCTAAACATGAGACTGTTAAATATTCATTGGTTAAAAATCACATTTAATTTTAGATCCGCTCTGTCTCATTTGCCAGCCATAGGCTTGCAAGAATAACACCAACAACAGAGGTTAAAATAATTTTGAGCATCATGAGTTTTTAAAAATCAGTTTTGATATGCTATCTAAACATTTTGTGTTTGGGAGATTCTAAATAAGGTTAAGAATAATTTTTGTTGCTAATGGCTATATCAATGTCCACAGGAGGAACTGAGCGCAACTGCAGTGTTAGTCTATTGCTGCAAAAATATGGAAATATATTGTAGTTTCTCAAAGACTAAAATATGTATTGGGACATTGACTTTTGGGAACTACAGCCCATCTGATCAGATGCATGATCTTGCAGCCCTTGCTCTGAGAGCCCTTTGCCATTTTAATACTATTTGTAACATATCAGAAAGCCCTAAAATTGGACCACTAAATCCATGGGTAAGCTCTTGTGGTTAAGACGTGGCTCTATGAGCAGGCATTCGGTTAGCTATGCAGTAACAACCACCCCAATAATGACGGCATTGAACAAGGATTGAATTAAGGACTATGAGAACGGGATCTGATTCTAAGTAGGCGTTGATGATTATGTGTATTGTTTGTCGATGTACGTCTTATATATTGTTCACTGTTTATTTTTACTGTAAACCGCATTGAGTCGCCGCTCCAGGCTGATAAATGCGGTATACAAATGGAGTAAATAAATAATAAATAAAATAAATAAGCTGGAATAGAAATGATCCGGGCTTGATCCTGGAAGTTGCCATGCACGCCCCTATTCAAGTTGTTGCAATTGACTATTAGCATCCACAAGGTCCAGTTAGGCTGAGGCTGCACCAGCTCTGCTGGACTGTCATCTCTTCATGTCATCGTCTCTGCTCTCTACTAGCCAAAGAGCTTCATAAAATTCATGATGGCCATTGCAGAACTTCATTCACACTCATGATGATTGTTGCAGAGCTTCGTGCACACTCATGATGGCTGCCACAGAGCTTGAGGCAAACTCATGATGGCCATCAAAAGCTTCATACAAATTCATGATGGTTGCTGCAGAGCTTCATGCAAACTTGTGATGGGCATTGCAGAGCTTCATGCAAATTCATTATGGCCATTGCAGAGCTTCTTACAAACCCATGATGGCCATCACAGAGCTTCATGCAAACTCATGATGGCCATCAGAAAGCTTCATACAAATTCATGATGGCTGTTGCAGAGCTTCATGCAAACTCATGATGGACATTGCAGAGCTTCATGCAAATTCATGATGGCCATCGCAGAGCTTCTTACAAAATCATGATGGCTATAGAACAGCTTCATGTAAACTTATGATGACGATCACAGAGCTTCATGCAAATTCATGATGGCCATTGTAGGTGCCCCATTCTGACATCAGCAGAGGCACACGGGACCAGGAAGAAGGAGGGACCAATCTCCACATCTTCTTCCTTATGGGCACCTTTGTTGATGTCAGAATCAGACACTCACAGTGACCAGGAACTCCTCATGGAGATCTGTGATTGATGTGAATAGGTTGATAAGCCAGGGAAAGGGTGATAGCAGTGGTGTCCCATCTGGAAAATGGACCAGTTCAGATTGCTCCAATCAAACTATCCATGCTGCCCTGGAACCATGAGATACTCAGTAGTTTCTAGCAAACTCCTGAACATCCCCCAACTTTGCCTGAAGCAGGATAAAGCTGTTTAACTTAGGAAAACCTATGATACTCACCATCATGTGGACAGCCAGGAGTTGATTCAGAGTGAGTCTGGGTTTACTCGCCCATGTAGACTCACTCAAAATAAGCGTTACATCATACAGAGAATGTATGATGTGCTAGCTCTTTCAACTGAGAAAAGGCCACAAGAGTAACAGAATAAACAGGTATGTAATAAATGAAACCAAAGAGCTGTTCAAACTGAGGAAATGATTTCCTCTAGATGTGCCTTTGTAATGGACTTTTAAACAGCCAGAATTACCTGGAGATGATTTGAGAAATGACTGTATGAGCAGAAGTATAGATGTTTGGGATCTCTCTCAAGTAATAGCTTGAAAAGCTCTACAAATTTCTATTATCAATGCTCATTACAAAAGTCCTCCTGGGGAATATGGTACATTCATTCAGTCATATTATCTGTTGTTCTTGATAGCACTAAACCATTGACAGAAATAATGAAAATTGATGTTAATCAAGAATACAATCCCATGCTCCCTCAGCCATGCTTATACCTGGATAGCAAAGCTTCTCCAGTATTAGTTTCCACTGACAGATCTGAGGGACATAATAAATTGCTTCAAAATTTGTTTAAAAACCTGACCAAAGTAGTTTGTGATTTATTTAAAACTGGTAAGTGGTGTATTTTTCATTAAACGAACCATACAACACGGCAATGTATTTTTCATGTGGTAATTATAAAATACCATGACATTTTCCAGAAATATCTAATAAAATGTATATTTATTTATTTATGGTTAAAGGTCCATGTTGCCTGATATAGTTGACCGCTTTCGAGTGCAAAATCCTCATTCCGTCGGACATGAGACCATTTTCTATTCTTCATATGTTTTTTTCACCAAGATATCATCTGGGATTGGATTGGGGATTTCCTTCTCGACTCTAGAGTGAGTGGCTTCTTTCATTCTCTGAACTTGGTCACATTGTGTTGTGAGACGTGTACACAACAAATACATCTTATGAGTGTTGGAGGCAGTAGTATGTATCTAGCACTATTGTTGCCAGGCTTTAGCACAGCAGGTTAACTGCCAGCCTCCTCTTGCCAACCAAATGGTTGACAGTTTGAAGCCCAGGTCAAGGTGAGCTTCTGGCCTTTAACCTAGCTTCTGCCTACCTAGCAATTTTGAAAATAGCAATGTATGGCACAGTGGGTTAAACCTCTGAGCTGCTGAACTTGCTGACCAAAAGATCACTGGTTCAAATCCGAGGAGAGGGGGTGAGCTCCTGCTGTTAGTTCCAGCTTCTGCCAACCTAGCAGTTCGAAAACATGCAAATGGGAGTAGATCAATAGATACCTCTCTGGCGGGCAAGTAACGGTGTTCCATGCAGTCATGCCGGCCACATTCCACAGATAAATAAACCCCACTTACCTAGTTTCCAACAGACCTCACCACCTTTGAGGATGCCTGCCATAGATGTGTCCGGAGAGAATGCTTCTGGAATATGGCCATACAGCCTGGAAAACTCACAGCAACCCAACCTCTGCTACAGTCCTGTTACTTTTAAAAAAATAGATACAAAGTTCTACATAAAGGATAAAAATACTTTTGTTGAGGAATTGAGCTACGTAAACTATGTACTGATGAGTAGGATTGCAGAAGGGATGCAATCCTGACAGAGGTCAAAACTCTATTGCCTTTCTCAGCCATTCGCTGTTTCCATAATGTGCAATTTTCTCAGAGGTTGAATGAAATGTGCTTGTGGCGTATTTTCAGTGTTGGCATCATTTGGAAAAATACTTGTCTCTGGAGAAGCTTATTTGAGATGAAGGGGCCAGTAAAGCACTAGAAAGAAATGGGAGAAACTTTAAACTGGAAGGAAGAGGTTTTATATGTGTGAAATAGTATAGAGATTACAACTGTAATAACGCTGTAAATTTTTCATAGTCTTGCAGGTTACAAATCAAGGGCATGCAAGCAGTCCAGCAGTGTTGTTATCGTGCTAAAAGTCTTGATCGGTGCCATTCCAGCCATCCTCATTCTATTAGGCTTATTTATACTATATTTCTATCCAATTAATGAGAAGAGTCGAAAAGAAACGAAGTATGCCCTTGAAAATCTAAGGTAAGTTTTTACCACTAGGAGATTCTCCTGGCATTTACTACAGGAGCTTCTCGTAGGATAAATGAAGCATGCTACAACATGTGGCACTAGCTATCTTACATCGAGTTAGTCTACTTGGATGGTTTTAGCTGTTTTAATGTCTTAATCTATGTTGTGAGCTGCATTTGGTCCCATATTGGGAGAAAAGAAGGCCATAAACACTCTGAAATAGACAAAATAATTTTATTTTCTGGCACTACCTCTTCAGTTTTAGAAAGGAAAAGCATTTAGCTATGCAGGAGGTGTACATAGCATTCTGGCACCTCCATTTCCATTTGCTGGTGTGAACACCTCAGGAGGAGAGTCTCTTCAATTTGTGGAGGTTCTTCACATGAAAAAGAGCAGTTGTTCACACAAAGAACCTCAACAGATAAAAGAAGCCTCTCCTTTGTAGGCATGTAAGCAAACGAAATAAAAATCGAAGATATAGTGCTCTCATACTTCCCCATTTTTGTTTAAACAATATGGTTACATAATATGGCACAATGAGTTAAATTCTTGTGCTAGCAGGACTGCGGACCAACAGGTCACCAGTTTGAATCCGGGGAGAGTGTTGAGCTCCCTCTGTCAGCTCTAGCTCCCCATGCAGGGACATGAGAGAAGCCTCCCACAAGGATGTGAAAACATCAAACATCTGGGCATCCTCTGAGCAACACCCTTGCAGATGGCCAATTCTCTCACCAGAAGCAACTTGCAGTTTCTCAAGTCGCTCCTGACATAAAAAAAATGGTTAATTTAATAAGAGCAATGTTCTTTTCTTTCATTGTTGACTAGAGAAGTCAGAGATTTTGTTTGCCAAGTGCATACATTGTCCTAGCATGAATTGTATTTTTTCCTACACTGCAGACTGCTGTTGTTGGGGTTGGGTAACTCTTACTCCACAGCAATTGCAGAGTATATTATTATTATTATTATTATTATTATTATTATTATTATTATTATTCCCCGCCTTTCTTCCTGCTTAGCAGAGGGTTGGAATAGATGGCCCATCTGGTCTCTTTCAACTCTGTGATACTATGATTCTCCAGAAAGTTTTTTGATGATGTGTCACATAACTGCAAGTAGGCAGTGCAGCATCAAAAGGGCAAGACGCAGGTTCCATCTATACTACCATATAATGCAGTTTGAAACTGCATAATATGATGAGTGTGGACAATTTAACTGCATTATAGAAGTGTATACTGACCACAAAATCAAGTTTCAAATTGCATTATATGGCAGTGTAGATGAGACCCCAGATTGCGTACCTCTTGATTGGAAACTTTCACAGGGAGTTGTGCATTTAAATATGTGCATTTGTTAGAGTTTGTAGCATTTGTGTGTTTTTGACTGTGCTGTGACTCACTTTGAGCCATGAGAAGAGGTGGGTAAGAAATAAAATTATTATTAGATACACAACACAATTAATACACTGTAAACAAGATCAGCATGCTGGTTGTTGTATTGGATCACACATCGGACACTTCCCAAGTGATGTATGGGTGAATAATGTGGGCAGATCTGAGTAAGGTGGCCTTTTGCAGCTGACAGAAGGTAAATTTGTCAGCACCAATTGTTTTCAAGGTCTTTAGGCACTGCACTCAGTGTGCCGATCACCACTGGCGCCATCTTTACTGGCTTGTGCCAGAAACTTTGCAGTTCGATCTTTTACAGGGAGATGTGCATTTTAATATGTGTTTGTAGAATTTGTAGTATATGTGTGTTTTTGGCTGTGCTGTGACCTGCCTCAAGCCATGAGGAACAGCCGTAAGAAAATAATAATAATAATAATAATAATAATAATAATAATAATAATAATAACAACAACAACTTTACTGACATAAAAACACAGTATGACACAGCAAACGAGATATATATGCTGGATTTCATATCACAACATCACAAGTTGAACACTTCCCAAGTATTTAGGACTTTGTGAGAATGATGCAAGCGATCCAAGTAAGGTGGCTTTTTGCAGTTGACAGATCGTGATTTTGCCAATGTTTATTGTTTTCAAATGCCAGCTGAGGTATTTTGGCATGGCACCCAGTGTGCCGATTACCACTGGGACCACCTGTACTGGTTTATGCCAGAGCTTTTGCATACATATGTGTTCTGGATCAATTCCCCAAAGCCCACTTTAAAAGCAAAACAGACCCCATCCCTACATGGCCATTTTCCTGGAGAGTGGAAGATCAGCAGAGGCATGCCCAGCTATTTGCTGTAGCTGCAGCAGACTGCCAGCATGTTTAACAAGATAAGAGCCATCATTTTCTGAGTATATTAATGACACTGCATGCCACAGAAAGAGTGTCTCTTCATGCAAAATTACTTCGCATTTTTCAAAACAGGAGGAATTATCCAAGCATTGAAATGCTCCCAGAAAATGAAGAAAACACATCAATGTGAAAGCCTGAACAGAAAAAGCTGCTAGCAACCAAAATCTGATCGGTGAATGAAAGCATATTTGTTTTACCTCAATTTAGCTTTGTCTCAAACCACATTTATCTAATGCCTGCCATAGATGTGGGAGAAATGTCAGGAGAGATGCTTCTGGAACATGGCCAAACAGCCCAGGAAACTCACAGCAACCCACTGTTTCAAAGTGCTTGAATAAAGGACTTCACTGCAGTATACCGCATCCTCCTAACAAAAAATCTGCAGTGAAAAATACCACTCCCAAGACAAAATAAAGTGCACAGCCCAACTTTACCAAATATTCTGCAAATCTTGTGATGAGTTATATATCAGTGATGTGGCAACACATTTTGAGTTTTAAAAAAGAAATTCTAAAGATTTTATAGTGGCTTTATTTAGTTGATACTTCGCCCTTCCTGCAAAGAGGCCAGGGCAGCTAAAAATGTACATAAAAACAGTCCTATATACACAGGCAGCTCATGAATTGAGCAAGGGTGGAGAACCTCTGTCCATCATCCTGGAGTGAGGCACCCTCATATTCAGTCCAGAAGTCACCAACACATAAATACTATTAAAATCATAATTCTGAGATAACGACATAATACATGGTAGTAACACCAATGTAGCATTTATCTGTCCCACAACTGTGCTCCTCCAGGTGTTTTGGACCTCCCACAATTCCTAACATCTGAAGTCCAAAACATCTGGAGGAGCACAGTTTGAGAAACACTGTCCCAAAGGCTCACACAGATAAACATGTTTCCAGCTGGTGCCTAAATGACAACAGCAAGGTGTCAGGGAAGGACAACTAGATCTTCACCATGAGGGAGTGCCATTGTTTTGGATACCACCAATAAGAAAGTCCTGCTTTATGTGGTTGCCACATAAATTACATTCATTAAAGGCAGCACAAGCAGAGCAACTCCAGATAAGCTCAAATCCCAGGTTGGTCAGTACAGGAAAACTTCATTTACTTGTGTCGTCTGCCATGTAGGGCTTTATAACAAGTACTAAAACTCTTGAATTAGGCCCAGTTATTCACAGTCAATCAGCGTACTGATTTCAAAACTGCCCGAAGAAGTCTTCTTTTGATAAGACATGGTCAACAGGTTTTTGTACTATCAGCATTCTCCCAAACATCTTAAAACAGTCCAGCACAATTATTACAAAGGGTAATTACAAAGGCTGTAACACCATTTCAAACTTGCTAGCAAACAGCCTGCATACAGCTGTTATGAATATACACATTTCCTCTTTTTTTTCTTCTGAAAACAACCTAGAGCTGTTCACTTTCTGTACATGCATAGTGTAAACATGCCTAGTGGGCTCCTTGAAGGAAGATAGAGTTGAAATGTGTTATGTTCAGAAGCAAGTACTGTTATCCTCTACAACAGTGGTTCTCAACCTGTGGGTCCCCAGATGTTTTGGCCTTTAACACCCAGAAATCCTAACAGCTGGTAAACTGGCTTGGATTTCTGGGAGTTGTAGGCCGAAACACGTGGGGGGCCACAGGTAGAGAACCACTGCTCCAAAAGGACTTTGGTACAAACTAGTGAGTAATTTCATAAACTGAGCTAAATAACTTGTTGAAGTGCATAGCATTCTCAACAGGCACTGATAAAATACAAAATTATCTCCGTATAATAACAAATAAATAGAAGTTGCAGGACTTTGTTATATGACATTATAATAAATGACCCACTTTTGTTTTCTACTTCAACAAGTAACTAGCAACAACATTCACACACTTTCCTGTGTCTTCATGCCAACAAGATTTCTCCTGAGTAAATGTAAATAGCACTCCTACCCCAACCTGTTTTTGCTTTGGCTAACTTTGTATTTAGTAGAGAAATATGACTAGTGATTCAGTGTGAAATGCAAATGTGTTGAGTCAGCTTAGCAAACAGGTTTAACAGAGACTGAGTCATCATGCAAACTTGGTCTACAAAAGTTGGCAGGCAGATCATTTAAATACATAATGGAAGTGACTTGTAGTTTGCGCAAAGTGGCAAAATTGTTGAAATAAAACAGACCCTTCCCCCAGACTGAGAGTGCAAGGCATGACCTACAACACAGAAAAGTACCACACAGTTGTACAATACACGACATAAAAGACGGTAAAACCCCAGCTTTAGTCAAGGGGCACTACCCAACTGTCCTCGCTTGAACCACTTTCGCTTGCTTAGGAGGGTGTGGTGGTTTGCACCGAAGAACTGCTGCTCCGTACGAGACTCTGGGAAGAACCTTCTCTCAGGACGTCCATAGAACTGGTGTCAATGTCCAGGCTTTGAGAGGAGAGCTTCCTGTATCCTCCTGTGGAACTGACAGCTTCCAGCGTTTTGGAAGAACTGCTAGAGCTGGCATTAGCATCTCTTATGACGACCTCCTGCAGGGTATCAAAGGTTAACGGAATAAAGTCTTCTTGGTCGGCAGTAAGAACAATCCAGGATAAACCTGATAAAGACATGAGATACAGAGAGTTTGTCAGAAATAAATATTATAATGATAAATATTAGGATGACAGTCCTGCCTAACATTCTATGCATGAAGTTCGGTTTAAACAAGATATTTATTATCGGATACTATCCATTTCTGGGTTGCTATGAGTTTTCTGGCCTGTATGGCCATGTTCCAGAAGCATTCTCTCCTGATGTTTTGCCCACATCTATGCCAGGCATCCTCAGGTTATGAGGTCTGTTGGAAATTAGGCAAGTGAGGTTTCTATATCTGTGGAATGTCTAGGGTGGGGGAAAGAACTCTTGTCTCCTAGAGGTATGTGTGAATGTTGCAATTTGCCACTTTGATTAGCATTTAATGCCCTTGCAGCTTCAAAGTTCGACTGCTTCTTGTAACTACAATGCCAGATTACACAGAGAAGCCACTGAAATCCACAAGCATGTGGACAATTTCAACAGAAAGGAGAAAACCATGAAAATGAACAAAACCTGGCTAACAGTATTTAAAAAACCTAGAATCAAGCTAGTAAATAAAGAGCAACACTCAAAAATTGGAATTCCAGACAAGAACCAATCAGGACCAGCTAATCACCTCCCAACAAAGAATTCCTCCAGGCAGGAAGCAGCCAAGCTCTGAAGCTGCAAGGCTATTCAATGCTAATCAAGGTGGCCAATTGCAACATTCACATTTGCCTCCAACAGACAGGAGTTCTTTCTCCCACCCTGGACTTCCCACAGATACTGAAACCTCACTTGCCTAGTTTCCAACAAACCTCACGACCTCTGAGGATGCCTGCCATAGATATGGGTGACACGTTAGGAGAGAATGCTTCTGGAACATTGCCATACAACCCGGAAAACTCACAGCAACCCAGTGATTCCAGCCATGAAAGCCTTTGACAACACATTGTATCAATTTCCTTGATAATTCTTAAAATGAATTTTGCACACAGAAAACATTTGCAGCAGTCTTCCATAACCTGTCGCTTTTCAGGTGAGCAATTCCTACTGTCTTCAGCCAGTATAATGATTGGCTGGAATGATTGGCATTATAGATCAAAAGTGTGCTAGGCTTGAGAAGGCCAAATGGGTTTCTATAAAACTTATGCTGAAGTCATTTCTAGACTGAAAGCTAAATTCCTGTGCCATCTCTCTGTCCCACATTGTGCACTTTCAGACCTAACACTGCTTTTAGACTACCGGAGTCATGCCCTCTCAATCGATGTAGTTGGTACAAACTAGTCATAAATGGCCATTACCACTCTAATGCATCTCAGGGCAGGAAAAAGAGAAATGCCAATACACCACTCAGTAATTGATGATGACTAATGACTGACAGCCTCTAGGCTAGTTTGGCTGAGGTCTGATGATCTGAGGCGCCAGCAGCAGTATGCCACAGAGGCTGGAGGCTGGCTGCCCAAAACTAAAACACTCCTTTACTGATTATGTCTGTTTTTCTTTTCTGAAATCTACATCTCATAAATGTTAGATTAAGCTGGGTTGTGAAAATCAAAACAGAAATACAATCACCTGAAAAACAAAATATCCTGTATTCTTTAATTTCACAGTGTTACCAACTGTTTGTCAAAAGTCCATTGGATTCTAGGAATGATATTGGTTTCTTGAACAAACTTCTGAGTCTTCACCTCTCAACCTCTCTGTAATCTCTCTTTGGAATTCTTGTCTTCATATAACATCTGCTGAAGGCCCTCAGTCCTTTAGTTCTATTCATTGCTAGTGGGAATTATTTTATTTTTTTTCTCGTGGCATGAGTGACTTGAGAAACTGCAAGTCACTTCTGATGTGAGAGAATTGGCCATCTGCAAGGACATTGCCCAGAGGACACCTGGATGATGTGATGTTTTAACATCCTTGTGGGGGCTTCTCTCATGTCCCCGCATGAGGAGCTGGAGCTGATAGAGGGAGCTCATCCACACTCTCCCCTTTTTTTGAACCTGTGACCTGTCGGTCTTCAGTCCTGCTGGCATAGGAATTTAACCCACTGCGCCACCAGGGGGTCTATAGTGGGAACTATAAGCAAGTGGGAACTATAAGCAAGGTAGGAAGATGATTTGAATGTACACTCAGCCCTCCATATTTTACCTTCACAGGTTGACTATCCATAGGTTAGTTGCTACCACTTCTGTAGTTGTCCTACACCACTTTTATTAGGGACTTTGATAGCACTAGTGTTCACCTTAAGCTGTGGTCAATTGCAACATTCACACTTGCTTTCCTTTGCTCATTCACTTGGAGGGAGGGATGGGAGAGGAGATGGAAAGTGTGGATGGTGTGTGAGTTTCTGGTGTGGACAAAGTGAATGGGACAGGGCGATGGGAGGGGAAGAGAGTCAGGGCAGGGGGATAGGATGGTATCAGAAGGAAGAGGAAGACAACAACCGCAGAAAAGGACACAACATCTGCGCAGTAGCCTTGGTGGGTCAGGTCTTAAATGACTGAGTTAGTGGGGTTCTCCTTGCCTGTTGCATGCAAGCATACTTTAATAAAGTAGAATCAGGAAACTACTGTGCAAGTTTCTGGGGAGACGGAGGTAGCAAGACAGGGAGAGAGGAGGAGAGAGCTGTCACATGTGAACACAAGACAAGACTTTTAAAATTTAGTCTACACCAGTGGTTCTCAACCTGTGGGTCCCCGGGTGTTTTGGCCTACAACTCGCAGAAATCCCAGCCAGTTTACCAGCTGTTAGGATTTCTGGGAGTTGAAGGCCAAAACATCTGGGGACCCAGAGGCTGAGAACCACTGGTCTACACTCTCCAAAGCTGCTCACATAAAAGCAGCTGAAGCAGTGCCTTCTCACTGTACTTGCCCTCCTCCTGCTGACACTATCCTGTCTTCCCATCCAACTCTCTCTTCTTCCCCACTCTCCATCCCATTCCCTCTGCCTACCCTAGAGACCCCTTATGTGCCATCAACTAGTGGGGAGATTGTATTGTTTTCTGTAACAATAAAAACACCATATAGAGATTGTGTTGCCTAAATACACCAGATTCGGTCTGATCTTGGAAGCTAAGCAAGGTCACTCTGGGTTAGTACTTGGCTGAGAGACTGCTAATAAGTACCAGGTGCCTTAGGCAATATTTCAGAGGAACAAACGTGCAAAACCAGCTCTGGAAAAGAAGACAAAGGTAGATTTGAAGATTGCCATAAAGGGGATTTCGAAAAAGAAGGCATATGGGTAGTTTCTGGTTAGTTATGTGATCCATATTGAGGGGATCATGGGGGTTGGGTTCACGAGTGTGGAGTTGGAGGGATAAGAAATGTTAAGGTATAATAACTGTACAGCCAAATTTGATTTTTCACATGTTTAATGAACACTGACTACATACCATTTTGTAAACTTGTTTGCTCTTTTGTATATCTTTTTTCTGTTTGTTTTTTTCTGTTTGTTTTTTATTGTCTGCTTTGTTTCTTGTGTACACTATAAAACAATAAAAATTTATTAAAAAATTAAACACAAACCAGCTCTGAGTGTTCCGTGCCTTCAAAAGCCCTTATGAAATTCAAGAAATCACCATAAAATGACAAGCAACTTGAAGGCACATACAAACACAAAGATTATGTTGCTTTGCATAATAAAGACTTGATCTCGCTCAGTTTTCCCACTGTCATTCACTTTTACTTGCAGAGAGTAATTATTTTGGTAGTGACTTATCTCGGAATGCCCACATTTATTTCTGTCTGTTTGTTTTTCTTATTACTTTTGGAGTCTTTGCCCTTTTTGGGGGCATGTTAGTTAGAAACCATGCAAATAGGTTTGAGAGTGCATTTGGGGGTTGATGTAATAGATGCTGAAGTCACAGCACCACCTACAGTTTCCTAAATAATGTAAAAGCAGCAGGTCCTTTCTATGGCATTTCATAGAGGGATATGGGAGCTGATCTCTTAGCTGAAAGCTCACAGGTTTCCCAAGTACACTGCAGTTTAGCTTTCCAACAAGATCTCCCCCTCATTGTAAAGATAACAAATGGACAAGGAAGAAAGCTGTGTGTGTTACCTGGAGCTTTGGAGAAAAGGGTGAGGTATAAATCTAAAATCCATACTCAAAGTCAGGGGTCCTCAAACTTTTTAAACAGAGGGCCAGGTCACAGTCCCTCAAACTGTTGGAGGGCAGGATTATAATTTGCAAAAATTCCTGTGCACACTGCACATATCTTATTTGTAGTGCAAAAAACACTTTAAAACAATACAACAATTAAAATGAAGAACAATTTTAACAAATATAAACTTATTAGTATTTCAATGGGAAGTGTGAGCCTGCTTTTGGCTGATGAGATAGGATTGTTGTTGTTTTTGTGTGCTTTCAAGTCATTTCAGGCTCAGGTTGACCCTGAGCGAGGGCTGTGTAAATGACCTTGGAGGGCCGTAACTGGCCCCTGGGTCTTAGTTTGAGGACACCTGCTCAAAGTGGTTCAAGGGGAATAGACAAAGACATAGGTTCATCAGTACATAATATAACAGTATCCGAAGGGAATCTTTCAGCATTAGACAAGGTCCTGTCTCACAATCCCTGTGAGAAGCCCACAAGCAAGATATGAGGATAAGAGCGCCCTTCTGTTCCTATCTCCCAGCAACTGCATTTCAGAGGTATGGTTTCTCTAGTACTGAAGGGAATAGATACCCAACCTGGTGTGTCATGAAGTATTTGAATTCTTTCTTAAATGTGTCCAAAATGGCAGTCATTGCAACACTCTGTGATAGCAAATTCCACAATTCAGCTATGCACTGGGTGAGCAAGGGAAGTGAGCAACTTTTTCTAACCTTTCACCCAAAAGAGGAGCCCCTTGTGGCACAGTGGGTTAAACCCCTGTGCCGGCACAGGTTCGAATCCGGAGAGAGCGTGGATGAGCTCCCTCTATCAGCTCCAGCTCCTCAAGAGGGGACATGAGAGAAGCCTCTCACAAGGATGATAAAACATCAAATCATCCGGGCGTCCCCTGGGCAACGTCTTTGCAGAAGGCCAATTCTCTCACACCAGAAGCGACTTGCAGTTTCTCAAGTCGCTCCTGACACGACAAAAAAACAACACAAAAAACAAAAACAAAAGAGTTTAGTGACACCAGCTTATATGCTTAATAATCAGTCTTAAATGCTTGGTTCGTTGTGGGCCTGTAAACATTTGAAAACGCATACATTTCCAAACTACAGTATAAAACTATTCTTGGATTATAGAGGCAAGCAGCTGTTAGTAATCATTCAGTACTTCTCATATTTTACATCAACACTGTGGCTTCATGCATTACAAGTAATTTTAGGAACTGCCTGAGATGCAGTTCTTCCTAGCAGTGCCATTTACTGGTTATGTAACTCTATGTGGCAAACGACAGCATGAGAAGATTGCAGCTTACAACCTTTAATCTTTCTGCTTAACGCCTTATTTGAACTCAACTTAAGGCCAGTACCAGGAAGACTTTCAAAATATCTCAAGCGGTCATATGTAACACATTATACATACATCAAGAGGTCACACTAAAATTGTATTTGCAAGGTAAGCCTATGTTATGCCTTGAAAGATCTGTTTTAATAATTCAACAATGTGGAATAAATCTGAAATTATCTTTTAATAGCAATAATGTTGTTGTACTATAGCAATAACATTTAAATCAAGTGGTGGAACATTTTCTTAAATTATTCCAAACATCATTTGCTACTTCACACAAGTTGGCAACTAATAAATCATGTTTAAAATTTATAACCACTGAAGATTGACTGGTTTAATTTTCTACAACCTCATTCTTTTGTACTGTATTTCTATGTACTGCTAACTTGCAAATACTGGCATTTGGTGATTTTTTAAGGGATGGGAAAATAAAACCTGTTAGAATTATGGGGTTGGAAAACTAGCAGAAGCTACAGGCAGAGGCAACCGGGGGCAAGAATATAAAGTTGCCATATGGGAGATCTTGTAGGATGCCATTCTAAACAGTGAATCTGTCCCGTCCCGCCACCCCCCCCCCCCAACATACACACACTTTTCATTAGATCCATCCAACTTATTCAATCTTTTCTTCTCTGGGCTAAAAGTATCCAAACATTCAGCACAAAACTGTGCATAACCCATTTTGCCAACATGGCCTTCTTAAAATATCATGTTCAGAACTGGATACTCCCGATGCCATCTGACCACGGCATTAAATACTACAACTATAACTTCCCATGATTTGGAGTCCACAAGTATAGCCCGTTCATTGTTGTGCTTCTATCCTATGGAATCTTGGAGTTTGCATATTCATTATGTTTAATACTGTTTAAATATTTATATATTTTAAGTTGTAGTGCTTTAAATTGTGAGCCGCTTTGAGTCTCTGTATGTAGAGAAAAGGCGGGATATAAATAAACATAAACATAAACATAATAATAATAATAATAATTTAGGAAGGGCTATCCATAATCTTCAACCAGAGAACTCTAGAGCCTCACCAAACTACAAACCTCAGAATGTCATACAATGCAGCCATAAAAATGATAGTGCGACCTGTGCAAATTGTCACTTAAGTAATTGAAGTAACAATTCAAATGACTGATGTAACCTAGATAAAAGCAAAGATTCTGGCATTCTCATATTATTTATTTATTTAGAATATTTGTACCCCGCCTTTCTCCACGTGCGGACTAAAGGTGGCTTACAACATAAAAACAAACAAATTTCAGCAGTTAAAATGTGTAAATAACGATAAAAACATGGTAAAAAACATACATCAATTAGAACAATAAAGTTATAATCCATTATCTCCACCGGAGACACCTCAGCTATCTCATATCTTATAAACAAAAATGTAAAGAAACTGCTTGGAAATGTCTTGCCTGGGTTTTGAAACAAATCAAACCCTCACACACATACCAAAATAAAAAAAGGGGATTTTTAAAAACTGGCAAGTTGCCTTCTTTTGGATCAATTGTGCTTTCACTGGATATTGTTTTACTGGCAAACAAAACTTACCATGCTGCATTTCAATGAGAACCAGATTAAAAATCTGCTGAATGACACTTAAACGAAGTTTGCCATCGCAAAGAATAACTGCTCGTTTTTCAGGTGTGACAGTTCCAGAAGACTCTTTCTGTTAATTAAAAACAAACATTTTAGGACTAGTACATTCATGACAGTTTTCTTTCATTCTGTTGCCATACACACTTGATACTTTTTTTTACTACAACCTGAGCTCCACCAGCTGGGGCTTTTTGCAAAAGACACAGAGAACTGCAAAAAATACCAAGGCTGAATGGGGGTTGAAGTCCTTTCAACCTCCACAGTCACCCTAATCCAGTGATCCTCAACCTGTGGGTCCCCAGGTGTTTTGGCCTATAACTCCCAGAAATCCCAGCTAGTTTATCAGCTGTTAGGATTTCTGGGAGCTGAAGGCCAAAACATCTGGGGACCCACAGGTTCGGACCCACAGGTTGAGAACCACTGTTCTAAGCTCTCCTCAATTCAACAATATGACTTATAGCAGAACCTACAGATAAGTTTTTAATCGTTGCTAATTTAATTAACTGGAAATCCAAAATCCTGCTGATTCTTCTGTAAATCACTCAGATCAAAGCTGAGAAATAAAAATATGCCTTCTCTGTTGCTTCTTTGGCTCTTACCACAAAACTTGCTTCCATGCCTCTGAATTTCAATGCCACAGAAGTGAGGAAAAGGCACTTTTGCTTTAAAAGACCCTACAGAAAATGCAAACCTCGACTGTAAACAAAGGTACATTTTGGGAAGATAAACTTGTCTGTAAAAATATGAGGAATGCATTCTACATCCCTTGTTTTAAAGCAAACATGCGATATCACATTGAAATTCTGCAACTGTGACAGCAGTAGAAAGTATTTCACAGTCAGCAGGGTGTTCTGTGGAATCTAGCTGTACCACCACCATCAGAAGACCTCTCTGGTCTAGTTCAACCTTATACTTGCCCCTCATCTCTTAAATAGATAAATGTAATCTGTAACTTAGAATCATAGAATCCTAGAGTTGGAAAAGACCTTGTGGGCCATCAAATCCAACCCCCTACCAACAAGCAGGAAAATCACATTCAAAGCACCCCCGAAAGATGGCCATCCAGCCTCTGTTTAAAAGCCTCCACCACAGAAGGAGCCTCCACCACAGTCCAAGGCAGAGAGTTCCACTGCTGAACAGCTCTCACAGTTAGGAAGTTCTTCCTAATGTTCAGGTGGAATCTCCTTTTCTGTAGTTTAAAGCTATTGTTCTGTGTCCTAATCTCCAAGACAGCAGAAAACAAGGCTGCTCCCACCTCCCTATGACTTCCTCTCACATATTTCTACATGGCCCTCATCATGTCTCCTCTCAGCCTTCTTTTCTGCAGGCTAAACATGTCCAACTCTTTAAGCCACTCTTCATAGATTTGTTCTCCAGACCCTTGATCATTTTAGTCACCCTCCTCTGGACACATTCCAACTTGTCAAAATCTCCCTTCAGTTCCGGTGCCCTGAATCGGACACAGTATTCCAGGTGTGGTCTAATCAAGGCAGAATAGTGGGGTAGCATGACTTTCCTGGATCTAGACACTAGACTCCTATTTATGTAGGCCAAAATCTCATTGGCTTTTTTAGCTGCTGCATTACATTGTTGGCTCATGTTTAACTTGTTGTCCATGAGAACTAAGATATTTTTCACACATACTGCTATTGTGCCGTATTCTGTATCTTTGCATTTTCATTTTTTCTGCCTCAGTGGAGTATCTTGCATTTGTCCCTCTTGAACTTCATTTTGTTAAGTTTTGGCCCATCTCTCTAATCTGTTACGGTCATTTTGAATTCTGCTCCTATCTTCTGGAGTATTGGTGATCCCTCCCAATTTGGTGTTGTCTGCAAACTTGATGATCATGTCCTCTAACCCTTCATCTAAGTCATTAATAAAATGTTGAATAGGACTGGGCCCAGGACAGAACCCTGCGGCACTCCACTCGTCACTTCTTTCCAAGATGAAGAGAAACTTGGGTGCAAGGAACTGCTAGTCATTGCAAGAAACAATACATGGTGCAATAATCCCTTTAAAAAGGTCTAATCTTCCTCCGAAGAGCAAAACCTGACAAAAATGGCTCTTTTCCCAGCCTGCCTTCAATTTCATCCTGACAAAAACAATTCTGAAAGGTAAGTTAGGTAAGACAATATTATTATTTTATTATGTGTACATTTATTAATGGCTGGCCCAAAGCAACCGATTAAGTTTGCAGCTGTGGAGATTTGAACTTGGGTTTCTAGTTTCAAGTCTGCCATGATAACTAGTGTATTAGCTCTCAATCTGTACTTTGAAAACTCCTGAAAGGTTGATAACTTTTCTAGACCACTGCTTCTTAGACTGTCTGTTCCAACCCCAAATTGAGGCCCCTGAGCTCAGTGTTAGGGTCACACAAAAATTGGCGACGATAAATGGTTTCTGAACACAAATCTGTTAGCAGCAGCGTGCAGGATTCACAGCAGATCTCCACTGTACTCCATAAAAAGGAAAACCGGCCTGCAAATGCTGGTGACTTTTCAGTAAATGTTCAATACTGATATGCCTGGGGGCACATAAATATTTCTCAGGTGGAAATGGGTCACAAGTGAAAAAGGTTTGAGAAGCCCTGTTCTACACTACATTTGACTATCTTGTCACACCGCCAGCCCTTTATTTTCCATGCATCAGGATTCAAAGCCCCCAAGGGCAGTACTGCTTCCACTGTATCAATTCTGCCCCTTTGACCTTTCTGTAGGAACAGCCCTGAAGAGCTAAATAGCCGCAGGGAAGTCATTTCTCACTTTTCAGTGATTTTGAGCCACACCAAAGATTTTTTTTAAAGGTGCATTTTGATCTGAAGGAAGAATAACCATATTTTGAACATAGCTAGTGAGCAGAATATTTATTAATATTATTCATTTATATGCGGCTTTTCTCACCTATGAGGGGACTCAAAGTGGTTCACAGAACGGTAAACGGCAAAATTCAATGCCTCACATAAAATGTAGGGAAAAAAACACATATCTAAAATATGATATAACTATAGATTAAAAAGACGGAGTGAGCTACCATTGTTAGCTCCAGCTTCTGCCAACCTAGCCGTGAGTAGATCAATAGGTACCGTTTCTGCTGGAAGGTAATGGTGCTCCATGCAGTCATGTCAGTAACATGACCTTAGAGGCATCTACAGACAACATCAGCTCTTCGGCTTAGAAATGGAGATGAGCACCACGTCAGAGTCAGACTCAACTAGACTTAATCGCAGGGGAAACCTTTACCTTTATAGATTAAAAACCAATAAAATATAAAACACAGAACATGTTGGATTTTGGCCTGCATAAATAGGAGCATAGTGGCTAGATCTAGGGAAGTCACGCTACCCCTCTATTCCACTTTGGTTAGACCACACCTGCAATATTGTGTCCAATTCTGGGCACCACAATTCAAGAGAGATATTGACAAGCTGGAATGTGTCCAGAGGAGGGCGACTAAAATGATCAAGGGTCTGGAGAACAAGTCCTTTGAGGAGCGGTTTAGGAGCTGGGCATGTTTAGCCTGAAGAAGAGTAGGCTGAGAGGAGATATGATAGCCATGTATAAATATGTGAGAGGAAGCCACAGGGAGGAGGGAGCGAGCTTGTTTTCTGCTTCCCTGGAGACTAGGATGCGGAACAATGGCTTCAAACTACAAGAAAGGAGATTCCATCTGAACATGAAGAAGAACTTCCTGACTGGGAGAGCCGTTCAGCAGTGGAACTCTCTGCCCCGGAGTGTGGTGGAGGCTCCTTCTTTGGGAGCTTTTAAACAGAGGCTGGATGGCCACCTGTCAGAGGTGATTTGAATGCAATATTCCTGCTTCTTGGCAGGGGGTTGGACTGGATGGCCCATGAGGTCTCTTCCAACTCTTTGATTCTATAACATTGGACATTACACCAATTCTGAGGTTATCATTTCATTATATTAAATACATATACCTTTCATTTGAACGTTACCTGGTAAATGATGTTAACAAAAGAGGGTTCACGAGAAGATGGGTATCGTGGAACAGTTCTTTTCCCAGACTTCAGAAGTTCTGTTACTTCAAAAAGCTGGTGCTGCAATTCTGCAAAGCTGCTGCACAGTCTTTCCAGATTTTTAGAGATGTAACTAGCTTCCTTGTCGCTTCGCAGTAAGTTCGTTTTGGAGGCATTTGAGATTTCATGAGGACTGTGGAGTGGTTTGTTTTGTGAAATGGGTACATTGTACACTTCCGAAGAGGATTCAGGTCCTTGAAGAGCCAGCGAACGATTGGTTGGCTCCATATCTAAAGCCTCCAGGGCCTGCGGGAAATCCTTCGGAAGCTTCTTGTCCTTGGAGTCAATCCTATTCATTGACAGGCTCTGATCAGTTGCAGTGCTTTTTATTTCTTCAATGAGTTTTCTTCTGTTTTTAGGAGACTGAAGGACATTGCAACCTGGAAGCAGCAAACCATCTTTCAGGGGATGAGTGTCTGAACTTTGTGTTTCAATTGTCTCTTTCTTCACAGGTATGTTTGTGAAGCAAACCTGGGTAACACCTGAAAGTGCAGAAGAACTCTCTTTGCCTACAACCTCTTTGATCATCAAGCGGAGAATGTACTTGTCTGAGCGTGAGGACGGAAGAAAAGCCGGGTCTGTTAACTTCTGTTTTCCAACCAATATTAGCAAGAGCTTATCTGTGAGGAAACATAATCCCTTAGGCCTCTCACTTTTCTCCAGCTGAATCTGTTGAATGTTGGGCAAATGAGAAGATGTTAAAGAGTAAACTAAAATTAGATTACAAGTGTTGGAGGCGACAGCAACAGTCTGAGCTTTTGAGTCAAAAGTCATTATATCCGGCACCAGGATACCCGGGATGCTGACCTTTTTGGTAGCTGTCACTTTTCTTTCAAATGTCACCAAGATCAGGTGTGAGGCATCTTGGCCACTTCCAGTGAGGTAATCCTTGGGTTTTAGATTAATAAGAGGACTATTATCAGACCGGTGTTTGTTTGAGGAGAGATGGGTCAGATCCACAGGAGAAGATGCCGAAGTCACAAGTGACCCAGGTTTTTCTTGGTCTGGGATCTTTTTTCCAACATCTACGGAGAGCTCTTCTTCACAGCTCAGTGAGGTAGTCTGGGATGGAACTGAGTTTCCCACAACCTCAGCCGGGATCTCAAAAGAAATTCCAGCATTTAAAGTACATATTTTATCTAATGGAAGTTCAGTAGCCACAGCTACTTGGGAATTCAAGGTAGCTTCAATGGCACAGATGTAGCCTCCCACATCAAATATTGGGCAAAAAGAGCAGGCATTCAACATTTTCTGATCATCATCCCAAACATAGGAATGGAGGGCACTGCCTATCCCCACCACTAAGCGGTTGCCTTCCTCAGTCCAACAAGCGCAGTGGATGAGACCAGTGCCTTTAATATCCGCTTTGATCCTGGAACTGTTGACCCGAATCGAGTGCAGGACTGAAGTGTCTCGTGTCGTTAACACAGCCAAGATTTCTTTGCTTGGATGCCACACACACCCCTGTGGGAGTATCGGGAACAACTCACTAATTTCACTGATTTGATAAACCATCAGTTTGTTCCTCTCTGAAACACTGTAACAGAGTTGCCACATGGTGATATGCTTCTTATGCTGAATAGCAAGGAGTGCAGGGAGATCTGCACCACAAGACGGGCCCCAGTGAAGCCCATGAACATGTTCAAACTGACCAACAACATTGGAGTTGCCAAACTGGGGCTCTCCATTATGGAGGTATAAAGATGTCAGGATCACTTGCTTTCCATCTGTCCAGGCAATTCCATGCACTGGGTGAATGGCCTGATATAAGGCGTTGAGGCCTGTTCGCAGCAATTTTCCTTTCCCCAGCTCCATGGTTAATCTCTAGTGGAATGCATCTGTAAAGAAAACAAATATGGTTCAACATTTCTTCTCTTCCTCCCCATTAATTTGCTCTTCTACCATAAACCGTTGCAAAATACAAAGCAAAGAGAAATGAAGCATCAAAGAAATGCGTGAAGCACATACAGGCTTCTGTTGTCTCTCCTGTTGCAAATTGCCTGAATTGCTGACTATAACTGGAAAGAAAATACTGAGCTAAATGGATTGTTGTCTTCATCCAACATGGCTTCTCTTATAGTCTTCTGTTACATACTTCCTTTTGAAGTTTTACATTGGTGATTAATAAGCACCGGCTATGTAAGAATCAGCTAATGAGATGAAACTGCATGCCATACTATTCGCTGTGCTCCAGAAACTGCATACTGTCCATGATACTTATATGAACAGTAAAACAAATCCAAAGTTGGCCCACCATTATAGAATACCTATCCAATGAATTTAGAGTATTAGTTAAAAGATGCATAGGTCTTTTTTCTAGAAACTAGGAAAATGTCACACTAAAAAAACCGCTAGTGTTATAAGGTATCCTCTTGCTCTTTACTCAATATTATCTGTCATTCTGCAGTGGTCTTCTACTAGCTGCCATTAGTTCTGGGTCCTCCGGTGTAACTGCATCCAATGGAAGTTGGTCATACACTTGTGCCGGAGGACACAGAAATTCCTAGAGATAAAAAAAATAAAGCAATTTCTTTATTCACAGATATTTTCATGTTCACTGTGCCCCTAACCCCAACAAATATGGAGAACTGGCTGTAAATATATAATTAGCAGCATACAGTAGTTAAAACCACAATTAAATAACATACATAGTGACTTTCCTGTCTGTGGCTTGGCACATGTCCCTGCATAATGCACCTGGGGTTCTCTAGCAGAGAAATGCTCTTCTTGTCATTCTCAGCTTGACCGATCTGTGAAATAGGTTAATATTTTCTAGGCTGCTCTACAAATGTAGAATTTAGTGAAAATATACTATTCAGCAAGAGTATATTGAGTGTATTGTAGAATGAATGCAGTCTGACATCACTTGAACAACCATGGTTCAATGTTACGTCATCCTGGGAGTTATAGTATTCCAAGGTCTTCAGCCTTCTCTGCTCAAGAGGGCTAGTGACTCCCCAAACTGCAACTCCCATGCTTCCCTAGCATTACACCATGGCAGTGGTATCAGACTACATTAATTCTACAGTATGGATGCACCATGAGTGCTTCACCTGCATGGGAAATTTTTGACAGAAAACGTGGCTTGAAACTCTTTTAACACAAATTAACATAAATCAGTCTGGACAATAGCTCACATATGTATGATTACTGGCATACTACCTGAGATGAGTTGGGCCAGTGCATCCAGTTATTACCAGTTGCATTGTACATGTCTTCCAAAACCAACATAGAATGACTTGAAAATAAAACAACGGATATCCATGGAGAACATGAAATATATCAGAATTATTAATAATTAGAAATCAATTTATCTGTCAGATGCTGCACAACCAAGGCCCCTTCCACACAGCTCTATAAAATCCACACTGAACTGGGTTATATGGCAGTGTGGACTCAGATAACCAAGTTCAAAGCAGATATTGTGGATTATTGGCCTTGATATTCTGGATTATATGGTTGTGTGGAAAGGCCCTAAGAGGGGTGCCTCTTTTAAATGCCACAAGTATGCATGTAACTGACGCCTAGCATGCACCTGGCCCCACCTGTTCAAGTTACCTGTTGTATATGTACTTTTGGTGTCCATTCTAATTTAGATTGCATTCTGTGAATCTGCGCATCCCAATTAGATTACTGCAATGGGCTCTATGTGGGGCTGTCTTCGAAGGTGTATTGGAAACTGGGTGAGATTTACATATCTGTGGAATGTCCAGTTTCAAACAGACTTCACAACCTCTGAGGATGCCTGACATAGATGCAGGCGAAACGTCAGGATAGAATGCTTTTGGAACATGGCCATACTGCCCAAAAACACACACAGAATCTCAGTTATTCCAGCCATGAAAGCCTTTGACAACACATTGAACCATGGACCTGTCTACACGAGGTCAATAACCTGTGGTGCTCAAGGCATTCAAGTTATAATACGTTGTCCTCCTTAGTTGGTTGCATTGTATGGCATCCAATACTGCCATTATATGTTTTTGGCCACCCTGAGTACCCATTGGGGAGATAGGGTGGGGTACAAATAAAGTTTGTTGTTGTTGTTGTGTTGTTGAAGGCTTTCATGGCCGGAATCACTGGGTTGCTGTAAGTTTATCGGGTTGTATGGTCATGTTCCAGAAGCATTTTCTCCTGATGTTTCACCTGCATCTATGTCAGGCATTCTCAGAGGTTGTGAGGTCTAATTATTATTATTATTATTATTATTATTATTATTATTCTGTGTTGGTTTTGGAAGACAGGAACTTGTGCCACAAATACCATCTGCCTGCAACAAAGAACTGGTGGGATCACAAGCCTGAAAAAGTTACAGGAAATGAACAAGTCAAACTCCTCTGGGACTTCCCGAATTCAGACAGACAGAGTTTTGGAGCACAATACTCCTGACCTCACGATCGTGTTAAAAAACAGAGTGTGGAACGTCAATGTTGACAGCAGGATTGAAGAGAAACAACTGGAAAAGCTGACACGATATGAGGATTTAAAGATCGAACTGCAAAGACTCTGGCACAAGGCAGTCAAGATGGTCCCAGTGGTAATCAGCACACTGAATGCAGTGCCTAAAGACCTCGGCCTGCACTTAAACACAATCAGCACTGACAAGATTACCATCTGCCAGCAGCAGAAGGCCACCTTACTGGGATCTGCACGCATTATTCGCCAATACATCACACAGTCCAAGATACTTGGGAAGTGTCCGACGTGTTATCCACTACAACAGCCAGCAGAGCAGTCTTGTCTGCTGTGGACTCATCTTGTTGTGTTTCTAGTAATAATAATAATAATAATAATAATAATAATAATATTTCCTCTATGGCTGCATCTACAGTATAGAATTAGTGCAGTTTGACATCCCTTTGTCTGTCATGGCTCCATGCTGTGAAGTAATGGGAGTTGTAGTTTGGTGAGGCACTAGCTTCCTTTGGCAGGCAAAGACATTGTAAAGCTACAGCTCCCAGGATCCCATATCACTGAGCCATGAAAGTTAAAGCGGTGTCAAACTGCATTAATTTGACAGTACAGATGCAGGGGCATTGGTGCTGTTCCAATTCTTCCACCTGAATGCCCACTGATGCCAGCCAGTGCGGCCTGCATTGCTATTCCCAAACCCCTGGATCCCAAAGGAGGTTGGACTACACCTCCCATCCTCCCCAGCCCTCAGGGATGGTGGCAGCTGTGGTGCCCAAGCTCAAGGAGAGAGGCCAGTGGGCTTGGCATTGGCACGTCCTCTCCCCCTTCAGCAGGAGAAGAAGAGCCCCGCCTGTATTCGCTTCCTCGACCATTTTGGCCCCCTTCGCTTCCCGTTACCTCTGTGTGGGCTCTCCCTGCGCCCGCCCGGCGCTCAATTCATTCCCGGCCAAGAAGGAGGAGGAGGAGGAGGAGGATGCGAGGAAAAGGAAGCCGCGCCGCCGCTTCCATTGGGCACCATGCCTTACCCTGACCTGCCACCAGGGGCGCTCCTCTTTGCGGAGGAGGCCACGAAAGGGGGCGGGGTCCTCCGAGCGTCACTTTCCCGGCTTAGGCGATGTCGTCACCGGCGGTCCTGGCTGCCCATTGGCCCGCGGGTGACCTAACAAACGCCCCCTTGCGACAAAAACAAAACAAAAGCGCCCTGCACGCCTACAGGCGGGCTCCCACAATGCAGTGGGGCACCAAACAGCCTTGCGCGTGTGGGAGTGCACGAGGGAGGGAGGGGAGGAGGGCGCGTGCGGGCATGCGCGCGCCCCCTGACGGAGGCGTCAGAAGCTCAGTGGGCGGGGCTAAGGAGGGGCCTCCCCTTCCACACAGCTGATCAAAATCCCACGTTATCTGCTTTGGACTGGGATATATGGCAGTGTGGACTCAGATCATATAGCCCTATATTTCAGAATATCAGGGCAGAAAATCCCACAATATCTGCTTTGAACTGGGTTATCTGAGGGCCCTTCCACACAGCTGTGTAAAAACAACATTTAATCGGATTATGTGGCAATGTGGACTCAGATTGATGTCAAACACTAGTTTGGCTTCAAGATAACCCAGAAATAGTTTTCTAAGATCTACAGAGACGCTCGCTGGAACATCTCAGTAAGCGAGAGTCCAAAAGTGGCAGGCTCAAACCCAGAATGGCTGATACCAAATGAGAGACTCCCTCCTGGGCACACTGAAAACTGGGCAACTTGGATGGCGCTGAACAGACTGCACTCTGGCACCACGAGATGCAGAGCCAACCTTCAGAAATGGGCTACAAAGTGGAATCCACGACATGCGAGGGTGGAGAAGAACAAACCACAGACCACCTTCTGCAATGCAACCTGAGCCCTGCCACATGCACAATGGAGGACCTTCTTATAGTAACACTAGAGGCACTCCAAGTGGCCAGATACTGGTCAAAGGACATTTAATCAACCACCAAGCTTGCAAACTCTGTGTCTTTTGTATGTTTGTTTGTTTGTTCTGTCAAAAATGTAATACAACTGTTCGGTTGCCTGACACAACAAATAAATAAATAAATAAATACCCAGTTCAAAGCAGGTATTGTTGATATGGGTTAGATGGCTGTGTGGAAGGGCCCACAGTCCACACTGTCATATAATCCAGTTCAATGTGGATTTTATATAGCTGTGTGGAAGTGGCCTTTGTGGCTCTTGCACCTTCTCCCTCTCTCTTTTCTTCCCTGGCTTTACCTCACACACACCCCTTCTTTCTTCTCTTCCTTCCTTCCTCCTCACATCTTTTTCTTCCTTCCATCTTTCCTTTGCCCCTCTCTCCTCCTCCCCTTGCTTCTCTTCCTCTCTCCCTTCTTTTCCCTCATACACATGTCACCTAGCAACAGACAATCTACTTCTTTCCCTTTCTTTTCCAGTGACGTCACAGAGGACCACTTCACCTAGCCACAGCCGCTCCTCTTTATTTATTTATTTACGACATTTATATGCCGCCCTTCTCATCCCGAAGGGGACTCAGAGCAGCTTACAAGTCATATGTACATAGAACATACTACATTATTAGCATAGTACTAATACATCATTCATAATATTAGTATTATGTAATATTATACTGTTGCTGGGGGAGGGGCTCTGATGTCACCTGAGACAAGATGGAACTATCTTCCTGGCTCCCATTCTTTGGTCTGGCTCCTTTTCTTTCCCTCTGTTCTGGGTCCAAGAGAGGGGGGGGGGGCGTTTAGACTAATCCCTTCAATTATTTTAAGTTGGATCATGAAGGGTCTGTGTGCCAAGTTTGGTCCAGAATGTATAGAGGAGAACAACCAAGATTACCAAGTTTGGAAGCTAAAGCCTTTTGAGGAACGACTTGGGACTTCATCCCACGGGATAAGTAAAGCATTTGGGATCGTTTTCCTTTAAGCTTTGCAACGCCCCGCTTGGAAATTAAACAGATGATTTTTCCTACCTCCATCACACCTCCTTTTTCTGCTTTTTTAAGAATGTATTTGTTTGATTTGCCATTACATAGTAGAGCTTTGTTTCCTCTCATTGCCCCTCCAGGATGTTGGTTATGTTGGAGCCTTTGTGGTACAAACGAACCAACCAACCAACAAACATACTTTAACTTTTATAGATAGACTAGCTGTACCCGCTACGTGTTGCTGTGACCAACCTTCCCTCCCTCTTTCTCTCCTTTCTTTCTCTCCTTCCTTCCTTCTCTTCTTTCTTTTCTACCTGTTTCTTTTCTCGCTTCCTTTGCTCTCTGGTTCCATCTTTCCTTGTCTCTTTCCTTCCCTTCCTCTTTCTTTCATTCCTTTTCTCCTTCCTTCCCTTTCACTTTTTTATTTCCTTCTCTTTCTTCTCTACCTTTCTTTTTTTTCCTTCTCTCCTTCCCTTCTTTCCCTCTTTCTCTCCCTCCTTCTCTACCCTTTCTTTCCTTCTTTCCCTCCTTCTTTTTCCTTTCTCTCCCTCCTTCTCTCCTTCCTTCTCTACCCTTCTTTCTGCCCTTCCTTCTCTCGTTCCCTCCTTCTCTCTCTCCTTTTCTCCTTCCTTCCTTCCTTCTTTCCTTCCTTCCTTCCTTCCTTCCCCCTTTCTGTGTATGTGTTTTGTGTATGTATATGCATATATGTGTGCATATGTGTGTGTGTATATATCTGTGGTTTTGTGCATGCGTTGTAATGTACTTTGGTGTTCTTTTTTTGCTTTTTAAGTCTCTTCTACTGCGTTTTTCAGTATTTTTATGAGTGATGGTCACTTGGGGCACACACATTTTTCCAACCTTGGATGACAACCTAGAACTGGTGCAGAGGCCTAGATTACACACACATACACACCTGCTGAAACATCTTGTAAGACTATGATGCAGTAGTTTGATTTTTGGACTAGGTATGTATCTACAGTGTAGATATAATGGAACTTGACACCACTTTAAGGGCCATGACTCAATGATGTGGAATCATGGGAGTTGTAGCTTTACTAGATCTTTAGCTTTCCCTGACGAGTGGAAAATAAATGTAACAGACTAATTAGGGCAGTACACCTGTGCAATCTTTGATTTCTGGGTTGCTCAGGAGAGTGCCTATGTGGATTTAAAGATTATTTTTCTGCCTACGTGGGGAAGAGCTCTTCCTGCCTCAGGAGTGCTTTGGCACCTACTTGATCTATATTGCAGGATTGCTTCCTGCCCTCCTTGCAATTATAAGAGGTAATGATTGCAATGGAATTTGCTTTTATGTATATTTTTGCAAGTCACTGGCCTTGGACCTGTTGTTAGTCCTGACTGTTAAATCAATTAGATTTATTTATGTGTTGATTCTCTGTCCAGCAACTGATTTAATAGGTCTACTCCGGTTGGCACTAATCAGCAAGCTACCAGCCACCAAGTGATTATGAGGATTCAAAGTTACTAAAGAGTGATTATGAGGATTGTATAAGGAGGATTACGTCCCACGAAGTACTTTGGAGACAGGTACTCTGTGGAAAGAGTGTGAGTTTATGTGAATGGTGTTAATTTGAATCAATTACAGCTGCTCTTCCACATCCTTAATTATCTGATATTTTCTTTGTAAGAGGTAAAGTCAAAAATGGTATTTTCTATTACAGTGTGCTTCCAAATTTAGGGGAGAATTAAAACTGCCTTACTGATAAATTGATATGTGTCATAATCAGACAGAGTTTCTCATTTTTTTTAAAAAACATACAAAAGATTTTGATAACCCTTTTTTCCTTCTGACTTTCTGCCTCAGACAAAAACAGTATTAAGAAATCAGACTTTTAAGGAAATAAAAAGTAGGTACTCAAAGCAAGCGTGACCGGGATGATAAAACTGGAACAGGTAGTGATTCTAATTCATTGCAGTGATAAAGAAGAATCATGCTGTTTTTGGCCTATATTTGTGCCATGATCATTGGAGATAACCGTTGCTGGCCTTTTAATAAAGAATTATTTAATTTTCCTCAAGAAGGTTTGTGGTCAGTGAGACCAAGGTATAGTGGAGGAGGAGATATTTCCACATGCTGTGCCAAAGAGCTTTATCTTTCTGGTTAAGCCATCTCTTGAAATGAAAATGTTTGCTTCATTGAAAACCTTGCCAGTGATTTCATTATTTTATAGTTGCAAGTGCCCTGTTTTGTGAACAGAGAGAAGAAAACTAGGAGAAAATTGTTAATACCTTTAAATAATGGTCAGTGCAGTAAAGAATTTGATTCAGTTACATTTCAGTGAGGATGGGGGATTAACTATTATATCTATACATTAAAATGGGGAGGAAAAACTGTTATTTTACTCCTGCCACTCCAGCCCCCATTTATATTTTGAGATTTGCAGGAAAGAAATACCGTATATTCCGGCATATAAGACGACTGGGCGTAGAAGACAACCCCCAACTTTTCCAGTTAAAATATAGAGTTTGGGATATATTCGCCGTATAAGACTACCCCTCTTCCAACGCACACCAAATTTTTTTTAAAGCATCAGATTTGATTTCAATATGGTAATTTTCCTATTACTGTACCTCCTTCTCTGCCTCTCAGATCTTGCATATGTGCACCTGCACCACTTCACTGCAGTCTTCAGGAGCGAGATCTGAGAGGCAGAGGAGGAGGTCAGACAGGTAAAAGAGGTGTGTTTGTCTGGGCCCAGAGCCACTCTATCTCTTTTTTCCATACCCAGGGCACCCCGGGTGCCTGCAGCTTGCTCCGCCCTTCACTTACAATTTCCTGGTGAGGCGCCTCTTCCCCTCACCATCGGGACCGCATTAAGTCCACGAATCCTGATGAACGGATTTTTTCCTACCGTACTTGTGCAGCGTCACCCTTAATGATTTCATACAGTCGCTGCATATGGCAGGGACACGGCCATCGCCATTTTTTAACTCCCCCCACCATATGCGGCAACCACAGATTCTCCAATCTGATTGGAAGTTTCAGCTCCCGTTCTATAAGACTACTCCCGTGTATAAGACTACTCCTATGTGTAAGACTACTCCAGCGTATAAGACTACTCCCATGTATAAGACTACTCCGGCGTATAAGACTACTCCAGCGTATTAGGCTACTCCCATGTATGAGACTACTCTCGCGTATGAGACAACCTCTGACTTTTGAGAAGATTTTCTTGGGTTAAAAGGTAGTCTTATACACCAGAATATACGGTACTATGAATGTGTGAAGGTTACATTTCACATTTTGTTAACACATTTTAACAAAAAATTGCTGTTACATTGCTAAAACAAATGTTGAATGAAAGCTTCTTTTTCATACAAAGACATTCTCTATGAAGACTTCATTCAGAATCAGAACTGAGGTGTTTTAAATAATGAAATTTGCCCTGGCAAACGGCAGCCTCTAAGTGCCCTTCCACACAGCCATATAACCCAGAATATCAAGGCAGAAAATCTCACAATATCAGCTTTGAATTGGGTTATCTGAATACATACTGCCATATATTCCAGCTCAAAGCAGATAATGTGGGATCTTATTCAGCTGTGTGGAAAGGGCCAGCGCTGTATCCTAGGGAAATCTATCTGTTCAATATTGATGCTGTCAGTATTAAACAGATTCCCTTATGTATCTTGGGACTTTATTACATAAAGATGGCAAACTGGCTTTGAAGCAGGACCAACACATATGGTGATGGTTCTTGTTACGTGATGTCACATGTTACCCTATGTTGATCTGCCACTTCTCCATGACAAACTATTCCTTTGCTGTTGATGGGAAAAACAATCAGTAGTCTCTGATTGCACCACATTGCTGCAACTTAGGGCCCTTCCACACAGCCCTATATCTGAGAATATCAAGGCAGAAAATCCCACAAATATCTTCTTTGAACTTGGTTATCTGAGTCCACACTCAAATGTGGGATTTTCTGCGTTGATATTCTGGAATAAAGGGCTATGTGGAAGAGCCCTTACCTTGTGCTATGATCCTGAGATGCTTCTGTGCCAGCATGCCAACACAGAAATGATGTCAGATGGGAGTTTTTAAAGATTAAAAGGTTTATTTACCAAAACTTACAGAGGAATGGAATTGCAGGAATCATGGCTGTGGGACCATGGATATGCTAATCATTGTATGGCCGTATAGAGATACAATATCAAGCGTGATTATCTTGGTAAGTAGCTGATCTCACAAATGCTGCAGGATGGTGGCTTTGTGTGATAAAATCCTTTGACTAGTCTTTTCATCTAAAGGATCCTGGACATTGCAGATCAAAACAACCAAGCCAAAAGGAATTGCCTGTCCTAATCTCTTACTTTTGAGGTGTTTCTTTTACTTGCCTCTGGTTTGGATTGAGGGATACACGGATCCTCCTATGCAGATTTTGGGGCATTCCACTCATAGATCGTATATGTGGTATATGGCGCCCTATTAATGGAGAACATGATACATTATATACTCAAAAAGCATCGAATGTTACACCTTTTTGCGTAACATTTTATGTGTGCTTTCAGCTTGCCCAGCCTATGCTCTTAGGTCTGAATGTTGAATTATGGGAATTTCAAGCCAAATTCAGCTCAGGTTATATAACTGCTGGTTCAAGAGAAAGGGCTTCCAAAGAAATCTTTGGAAGAGGTGTTCATTAACAAGATATAATCACTGTGGATACATAAATATACAAGGATATTACCTAACCATAATTTCAACTGAGAGGTCCTAATGAAGCAAAACAATAGTGCAAACAATTTAGTAAGGTTAAGAATTACTGACACCAGAGCCCAATGTTTTACTGTAACATTATTGTAGTATTTATAATTATACTGGGTTGTTGTAGGTTTTTCCGGGCTATAGGGCCATGTTCTGGAGGCAATTTTTCTCCTGATGTTTCGCCTGCATCTATGGCAAGCATCCTCAGAGGTAGTGAGGTCTGTTGGAAGTAGTAAAAATGGGTTTATATATCTGTGGAATGACCAGGGTAATGTTTCAACTGATCACCTTGATTTGCATTCAAGCGCCATTGAATGCAAATCAAGGTGATCAGCTGAAACATTACCCTGGTCATTCCACAGATATATAAACCCATTTTTTCCTACTTCCCACAGACCTCACTACCTCTGAGGATGCTTGCCATAGATGCAGGCGAAACGTCAGGAGAAAAATTGCCTCCAGAACATGGCCCTATAGCCCGGAAAAACCTACAACAACCCAGTGATCCCAGCCATGAAAGCCTTCGACAATATAATTATACTGTTTATTTTTTTGGTAAATGTTTAAAATGGTCAGTGGACTAATCAAATACATGGATACGATGTTTTGCCAGAAAAAAGTAAACCAAACTACCACACTTGAAGGCTATTCAGAACTTGCTATGGAGCAATGTAGTTTTAGCAGTATAGAAAAAAGATGACAAGATACACTTATGCTTTAGAACGGATGCAGTTTAACAACACTAACTCCTATGGCTCAGTGCTATGGAATCTTGGGATTTCTAGTTTGGTGAGGCACCAGCACTATTTGGAGAGGAGGCGAAAGACCTTGTAAAATTACAATTCCCCATGATTCCCTATCATTAAATCATATCACTTAAACTGATGTCAAATTCCATTAATTCTACATTTACACCAGAGATGTCTGGAAGTGTGAATAAGTTGGAGTGCGGTAAATGAAAGATGGGACTTTTCTCCATCAAACACTTCAGACAGCAAAAATGAAAAATTGGAGTTAATCCAGCAAAGTAGAAAACTTTTCATAAGAAAAAGTGAAATGATAGGCAGAATTCCATTGACTCCATAAACACATTTAATAAACTGGAACTCTTGTCTGTCAGATAACTCTGTTTATAAAAATACATTTGCTGTTTCTTGGCAGTGGGTTTTTAGCTAAAGAAATATATCACAGGTAGAGAAATTAGAATCCATTTGGATAGCTACATGCATTTTGCAGTATATTTGAAGTTTTTAATGAGGAAATCATGACAGTTCGTTGATAACCAGGCTGGACCCATCTTTGAGCAATTGTAAGTTTTTAAAAAGCTGCCCTCATATAAAAAGTGCAAAAATAGAACCTCTGAAGAAGAATAAAGATGTGTTTCAAATTTATTTCTTCATAGCACTTAACACAAAAACTGTTTCCCACAATAAAGGGCCTTCACAAGCTGCTACTATTCTACAGTTTAGTTTAAAAGCTGAAAATTTGGACATAGGGGGCAGGAACTTTCTCAACAACAATTTATATTCTACTGTATGGATTTCATCATATGTGTAGACTTGTATTAACAGGATTGGTTAAACAATCACAAAGAAAATATATGCATTGCAGTACTTCAAAAATATTTGATTCTTATAATCTAGAAACCGCTATGCCACACATTATGTTCAAGCAAGAGAAAAAACATTGACACACCATATACATTCTGGAATCTCTTAGAAACATTCAGTGTGTCCATTCCATTGTATTTCCACAAAAAGAAACATACATGGATGCTTCATATGGCATTATGTCCATTTTGTAATGGCCTTTCCTATAAAGAAGCGGTATCCATGAAGAAAACAGTTTGTGGAATGATCCTCAAACAAGTCAAGAGACCATATATCTAAACAAGAAGGTCAACAAACAGGACTATTTTTCCTCTTCCTCCTGGATTGAAGAAGTTCAAATATTTGGATTGAAGAAGTTCAAATCCTGGGTTGAGGAAGTTTAAATACGTTGGATTGAAGAAGTTCAAATCCAGTGTTCTCCACCCTTTCCTTGGAGTCAAGCTCACAAGATAGCTTTTAAAAGTACACTTCAGATGTAGAGGATCTGACTTGGAACACAATTTGGAAGTGGGTGAAGACTTTAATCTTTTGCCCCTATTACCATCCTAATCGGAACTGAGTTGCTTGCCCTGCTAATACTTGTTTTAATAGAAGGTCTTTCTCCCAGTATAAATAGCTGGTCCCTGTGAAAAAACACTAGATGGTTTAAAGTCCTGTCATCCATACACACCAAAAGAGTTCAGGAGGTAGAGAGATGTTTTGGCTTTGCATTCACTAGAATAAATAGGACAACCAATTTATACACAGGACATTCTCCATGATGAAAGAAATATGAATAAATGGATCTTCCATGCTTGTGAAAGCTGTTTGGGTTTGCAGAGAAGATTTTTTTTCCAGTGAGGACTACTGCTGGTGGAATGGTAAACTTTTAAAACTTTTCCCCCTGACAGTCTCTGTTGAAGGTCTCCCAAGCCACATCACAGAGCATATTTTTGGGTTTCAGGAAGAAAGCGGAATACAGCGGGTGGCAAGCTCCATTGTAAACAATCGTTTGGTAACATGGTGTGCCTTACATAAAATGGCAAAATAAAGCCTTTTTGGATTTTTCAAACATATTCTCAAACTGTAGATGGTTGAATCTGTGGATACAGAAGGCCAACTGTAAATGAAAACTGCTTTCTGCCCCGTCTTGCCTGTTTCTGCCAATGGGACGATGCTCTGAACAGGGTTCGGATAACAGAATGTCAGGATCCAAAACACCATTATATTTTGTCCCTCTGTTTTATTCAAGATGTTCTTTCCCTGGTGTCATCGCGCATAACAAATGAAAATGGATGAAACAATGATGCTTTAGCATGCTCGTATATAGAGTGAAAACATGTTTATCTCACTCCCAGATCAGTTATTTGGCCCATCCAAATTTCACTTAAGACATGATATACTAAATCTGATCTTGTAGTGTGTGAGAGAACTAGTCATTGTAGAATGAAAGCCACATGAGTTACAAGTATAATGCAGTCAATTGTCCTGCTGGTCATTTTCTAGTTGTGCAGTTTTTATATTGAATAGCATTTTTTTTTTTAAAAAAAGTGGTTGTCTAATTAGGTCACACTGCTTGGTGGTTGTGAAGGATTTTTTCTTTTGAAGGAACGACTTCCACAGGTTTCCAAACTATCACTTCCTTCCCTTATGATTATCTCCTGCTTTGCTTTGAATGTTAGTGGAATAAAACCTTCATTATCTGCAGCAAGAACAATCCAAGAAGAACCTGGGGAAGAAAGGGAAGAAAACATTAGTCTATATTTGTGTAATATGCATTACTAAATAAGCAATATGAAATTACTATAATACTTTGGTATTTCTTTTTCTCCATTAGGTTTTCCACCAGACTCTAGTTTCACTTATTTGCTTACAGTACTGAGACATGTTGATTTTAACTCATACCTGAGTAACTGAAGATTTTGTGATTCTTTCATATGCATTGTAGTCAACTGTGCTCTTATATGCTTTGTATACCAAATACATTATTATTGAATTTTCCGAATATTTATACATTAAGATAACATGGAAATGAACTTTCACTGAAGCTTTAACAGTATTCTTCCTTCCTCTCTTTCCTCTTGCAGCTTTCATTCAACCACCGACTTGCCACATAGAGCCCCTAATCCTTATGTACAAATTTAAGGGCTTTATGGTTGCAGGGAAAATGGGACTCTGTTGCATACAATCCTGATGGCATGGTGCTCCATATATTACTTCATTTTGGTTTTATACTTACCGTAATTAGTTATGTTATTTAGCTAGATCTGTTTACCAATTCCTCATACCATAATAGTCTTTATTAATCACAGTGGTTTAGTTTGCAAAATCCACACAAAAAAGTATGTGTGAAATATTAAACTCTTTTTTTAATTACCCATGTCCAATGATGAGTAGTTTTGAATCAGAGGAATGTTTCAAGGACTGGGTTGCTGTGAGTTTTCCTGGCTGTATGGTCATTTTGGTAACTAGGCAAAAAACAGGGAATTCCAGACAATAATAAATCAGGACCAGCTAACACCTCCCCCCAGGCAGCAACCGGTCAAGCTTTGAAGTTGCAAGGCCATTAAATGCTAATCAAGGTGGCCAATGGCAACATTCGCACTTGCCTGAAACAAACAAAAGTTCTTCCCCCTCCTCCACCTCACTTTCCAACAGACCTCAACAACCTCTGAGGATGCTTGCCATAGCATAGATGTGGGCAAAACTTCAGGAGAGAATGCTTCTGGAGCATGGCTATACAGCCCGGAAAACTCACAGCAACTCAGTGATTCCGGCCATGAAAGCCTTTGTCAACATGTTTAAAGGACTGTTTGTAAAATAACACTGTCATTTGCTGTACAAAGAAAATAACTGTTACATAAGGTCTTCAGCATCCATCTAATATTGCCTTTTGGGTCTCCGCATGGTAGGCATTCAAAAATGTTGTTAGCTAGTTTATTTTTTAGAAGTTCATAAGTTTTAGATGATGTCAAAGGTCTTTAAAACTCTAAATAGTTCCAGATGTTGTTTGCCCTGTTGTTGCAATTTGGGGAACTACTTTTCAAATTAAAGGGAGACTAAACATTATTGTAATATGCAATCGGGGCTAAAATCAGGGTAGAATACAGGGAGGAATTGATTCGTTACATATTACAGAAGCAGCTCCCTAAATCCCAGCCTTTGAATATAATATTATAGTAATGATTCCTGTTTGTTAGGAGTAATATGTAGTAGTTTTGGACTGAGTCAATGACAATTTAACAGAATTATAAACCAACCCTAACAATATTATAATATCTTCCAACACTTTATGTCACACGTTGTTTACCTCTTCCCAATCTACAGGTCAATTTACATCTAAAACAAAGAAGTAGAAATGAAAACCATAAAAGATAATTGTTTATCTCAGAAGATGTTTGTTACTATGTATGCCTATATTCAGAATAGCCTTTTAGAAATTGATATGTTGCACTAAATCAGAAATGATGGTTTAAACAAATTCTGTTTTCCAGTTACTCTAAAAAAAAAACCTTTACATTTGAAAGCTCATAAAAATTCCATTTTGATAGATCTAATAACTGAAACAGTTACCATGCTCTTTCATGTTGTCCATCACGTCATAAGAAGATTGTTGTTACCAACCATGAACTTTTAATCTTTTCCAGTTAATGCGTCCTTTCTAATTCTGGACAGACTTTGGATTCTATAAACGACCCTGTGCACGTGTGTATGTATGGATATAGATAAAGGTATGCATGAATATAAACTGACCATACGTGTGAGTCTAAGCATGAAAAACTCTTAACATTATATAGTGAGTGAATACACATTCCATTATTTTATCCAAAACATTACAGGCTGGTTTGATTCTTAGTGTAGCTCTTCATCTTCACTTAATGGGAAGTATTGTAAGATATTGTAGGTTTCTCTGGCAAATCAGTGAATGGTGTACAATATGATAAACCATGGGAAAAAAGAAGGAAACAATATGCATCTTTATGCATCTTTGTGAAGGGAGATAATGTAAAAAACAATGTAATGAACTCAAGTATTTTTTCACAAGTAGATGCTTAATTTATTAGAACAAGGTTAGGCAAATGTGATATCCCAGAATTTTTGACATATTGTTGTTCTTTGCCTTCATATCATTTCTGACTTATGGCAACCCTAAGGCCAAACTTTCATGAGGTTTTATTAGCAAGATTTTGTTCAAATGTGGTTTTCTTTGCTCTCCTCTGAGGCGGAGACAGTATGATTTATCCAAGATGAACTTCCATGTCCATTTGAGGATTTGAATCCCGGTTTCTGGACCCATAGTCCAGTGCTCATACTACTACATCAGGCTGTAATTCTCATAATCTTTTAGCATTGGCTACACTGAATAGTGTCGATTACAGTTAAATAATATCTCTACTTATCTCCTGCCACTATCTCCCGGAGCTGTACATCCAAAACCATTCCTTTTTTGAATGGTTTTTGATAATTCAGAAGTTGTTAAATGTTGACAATTTTTGTATCACAGAAAAACGCAAATAACAAGAAAGGAAATATGGCCTAGGATTTACATATAAGGTTCCAGTCCCTTCTCTCTATAAGATTATTGTATTAAATTTAGTTAGGCATTCATCAGAGTAGACTGCTCTATAAGAAAGCACCTAACAAATCTGATTTATGAAAAGGAAATATATTTTTAAAAATTGAAATGTTGAATTTAGGAGCTTTTCTAATTTCTAAACCATGTTGCTCCAATATAAAGATACCATGATTATATTTGTAATTCTAAAATTCAGGGTGTTAAAAGATACCCCAGCTGTCAAAGTTGAAGTAAAGCTGTGACTTTTGCTAATTCTTTTAAATTGCACACTATTTTACCTGTACACAGATGACACACGACTCTATTACTCATTTCCACCTAAAGCAGTGGTTCCCAACCTATGGTCCGTGGACCACCAGTGGTCCGCAAGAATGTAAATCTGGTCTGCGTCCTCACCATTACTACACCATTGCCTCGAAACCATGCGGCAACCAAAGCGACCCGTCTTGCGAAACCCTCTTATAGTGCCAAGGCAATGGGGATGTTGGGAGGGGAGAGGCTGACTAAACACGAAAGATTACTACTACCACATCAACTGTAGATTATTAAATGTGGTTTTCTGTGGGCAAGCTGATGGCAACAACTGGATGGCATATGTTCTGTATCAGAAACGAGAGCTGAGTCAGCACCCAAAATAAACAAACCAAATCTAAAGTTGACCAAAAACCAATTTGTAACCCTTTTGGTACTAAAGTTGGAGAGTGGTCCTTGGTCAAGTGGTCTCTGGTCAAAGTGTTGTCTGGTCAAAAAGAGGTTGGGAACCACTGACCTAAAGCCAAGGAAGCTGCCTTGGTTCTTAACCAGTGCTTGGCAGCTGTGATGGGCTGGATGAGGGCTAACAAATTGAAGCTTAATCCAGAAAAGATTAATAGAGCAAATTAATAGAACCAGATGAAGTATAGGGAAGAATATTGGAGGCTTCACCTGGCCTGGTAGCTACAAGTGGAGATATGTATCTGCCTTCAAGTCCTCTGTCAATTTGTGGCAATCCTATGACTTCCATAGGGTTCCCTAGCCTTAGGCAGTGAATCCACAGAGGTGATTTTGCCATTTCCCCCCTCTCTCTTACAGCATCAATCTCCCATTCATGAACTAACCAAGACTGACTCTACTTATCTTCCAAGGTCAGACAAGATCTGGTGTCTTCACAGTATTTCGCCACTTACAGGTGGGTTATCATCTGATTAAAACACATATGCAGTTTGTTTGTTAAATTACCCACTTGTGTATCCAAAATCATTTGAACACCTGAACACACTGTTCTTCCAGGAAGCAAATCCAGCTGTAGCAGATGTTGCATTAAATCTGGGTTACACAAATGGACTTGTATTGACTGATGCCCTTCATGTTAACAGTGTAGTGTCCAATGAGGACTCCTTCTTTTCAAATGGTTCAGATAATAAAATGATGTTCTGATTGCTCCGGTTATTCCTTTTGATGCTTATGCTGATTTTAGGGCTGCGACTAGCACAGCGAGTTAAACCACCAGCTACAGAAGATCTTGCTGATCAGAAGTCTGGCAGTTCAAGCCACAGGTTGGGGTGAGCTCCCGCCATCAGCCCTAGCTTCTGCTTACCTAGCAGTTCGAAAACAGCAATGTGAATTGATAAATAGGTATAACTTTGGCGGGGAGGTAAAAGGCACCCCTGAAAACATGCTGCCAATTTGATTAGGAAGGTGCCCATGGATAATAGGCTCCTCAGTGTGGAAAAAATGAAACAACAGCACCTCCCTATTGCCAAGTTGAGCATAGCCTCCAGATGCCAGAGATGAAAAAAGAGGGAAGCCCTGCCTCTGTTTATGTACTGTCTATCTTTGTTGTCAATTGTATAATGGTATTGAATGTTTGCCATATATGTACCCTGTAATTCGCTCAGGGAGATAGAGCAGAATATAAATAAAGTATATTATTATTAGTAGTAGTATTATCATTATCATTATCATTATTATTTCATTTTAATTTACAGCAATGAAGAAGCAATATACCATTACTGCAGCTGTACAGGGCACAAGATTTCATTTGGCACCTCCAAAAATATCAGAAAGCAATAGCATTGGTGATGTTACCTCCTCTGTGTAGAGAATGTCCCACCTTACACTTCTTTTCTTTATTAAGTCCTTGCAGTCTACAAAGTTATTTTTAATGATTTATTTTTAATTCTACAGGAAGGCAGTCCATACTCTTTATATAAGGATGAATAATACAAATTTAGTTGTTATGAATAGGGACTCTACATAAAAGGTATTTCCTTTTCTGATTGCTTCCCCCCTCACAAGTAAATCAAGACTGGCAAATAAAGACAGTAATTTGAACAGTTGGCAGCTCTTTCTGTTTTCAGTATAGATGAAACTAATCTAGGCATTGGCTGCTTAATCATTTGAAAGACTTGCTGTGTGTTGATTTTTTTATAAATGAGAAATGCATAACACGCTAGGGAATCTTTTATTTGAGTTTATTTTTGCAATTGTACAGAAGCAGCAGCCAGCAGATTGCTTCAGTTATGCTATTGTTGTATGAGCCTGCTAAACTATGGCCCTTTCACATTACACAATCTCTGTGCCATGCTTCCACTTCAACTGCAATAGTTCCATCCTGTGGAATCCTGGATTTGTAATTTAGAGAGGCATATCGAGAATATACTCAGCCTGAGACCTCCTCTGATGCCTTACCTATCTATAAGCTCAAGGATAGTCTGTTCCTATGATACTTAACGTGAAATCATCATGCTATAATTGTGTAATGTGAAAGAGCTCCAGAGCTTATATATATCCATTTATTTTTTAAGATAAACAACAGCATTATCATGATACGGCATCCATTTATTTGACTTGGGGTACATATTAATCTGGGGCCTCTGGAGGTGCAGTGGGTTAAACTGCTGAGCTGCTGAACTTGCTGACTGAAAGGTCAGCGGTTTGAATCCGGGGAGTGGGTGAGCTTCCGCTGTTAGGCCCAGCTTCTGCCAACCTAGCAGTTTGAAAACATGCAAACATGAGTAAATCAATAGGTATCCCTTCTGCAAGAAGGTAACGGTGCTCCATGTAGTCATGCCGGCCACATGACCTTGAAAGCATTTATGGACAACGCCAGCTCTTTGGCTTAGAAATGGAGATGAGCACCAACCCCCAGAGACATACTCAGGACTTAATGTCAAGGTGTCAAGGGGGAACCTTTACCTTTACTTTTTACATATTAATCTGTATTCTGTTTCTGAATATTGACTGTAAAAACTGTGGAATGGGAAATTTTTGGCAGAGACAATCTTCTAAAATGTGGGCATCAAAGCCAACTTTCCATTTATCCACAAGCTATTTTCTAAATCAGCATGTCCACCAATAGGGTATGGGGCAGCTTCAGTATCCCATGATACAATTAGGATAAATGGAAGGAAGTTTTGATCACTATCAGCTACTAATGAGCCAAAATTATGAATTCAGATCAAGCTTGACAGAGATCAAGCTTAACTTCATCTAATGACCAAAGTAGTAAGGGATGGAGGTCACAGAATCATAAAATCATAGAACAATAGAGTTGGAAGGGACCTCATGGGCCATTCAGTCCAACCCCCTGCCAAGAAGCAGGAAAATCGCATTCAAAGAACTCCCGAAAGATGGCCACCCTGCCTCAGTTTACAAGCCTCCAAAGAAGGACCTTTCACCACACTCCGGGGTAGAGAGTTCCACTGCTGGACAGCTCTCACAGTTAGGAAGTTCTTCCTAATGTTCAGGTGGAATCTCCTTTTCTGTAGTTTGAAGCCATCGTTCCATTTCCTAGTCTCCAGGGCAGCAGAAAATAAGTCTGCTCCAACCTCTCTATGACTTCCCCTCACATATTTATATATGGCCATCAGCCTTCTCTTCTCAGCCTTCTCTTCTTCAGGTTAAACATGCCCAGCTCTTTAAGATGCTCCTCATAGGGCTTGTTCTCCAGACTCTTGATCATTTGAGTTGCCCTCCTCTGGGCACATTCCAAGTTGGCTGAATTTAAGTCACACTGGAATATATACATGCAAAAAACTCTAGCTAATTATAGTATAGCTGATATTTCCAAAAATATCCTGCTTAGGAAACAAACCTTGTAGTCTAAGAAAGAGAGGGAGTAATAAACGGAACTTACCATATTTCATTTCAACAACGGGCAGATCAAACAGCTGCTGGACTAAACTTAGATGAATCTTGCCATCACATAGGAGGACAGTTTTTGTTTCTTCAACTATGGATCCATTCGAATAAAGCTTCTTCAGGCACATAAACACATAGAAATAAGCACTTAGTTAGAATAGAGGTGGCAGTTTTTCTATGTTAGCAATTATTCCCAGAAACCAGCCCTCCCAGTTTTTCATTGCTACCTCCCTCTTTATTTTTATGTGCACAAAAATGTTTGTGCGATATGGGACACAAACCATTTTACAAACAGCTACATATTTTACAGCTCGGGGATTAGGTTTACAAAAGTAGGAGTTGAGTCCTTCTGGAAGTGTTGAAAGAACGCTGAAATTCTCTGGCAGAGTAGCTATTTGCATATCTTCTCAGAAGGAAACCCCTCGAATGTTTTCTTGGTAAATGGTTATAGGATTGTAGTCTGGGTCCTGTAAACCCAATCATCTCATAATACTGTTTAAAGTGGCATTGAAAATAGTGGGGGCTAACACAGGGTTTGTGAACTTGGGCCACACTAGCTATCTTCATGACACGTGATGGCTTCTGGTGACTAATAAATAAATAAATAACCTTTATTTATATCCCACCACCTCTCCAACAGGACTCATGGCGGCTTACAAAAAATAAATACAAGACCAAAGCAAAAATAAAAACAAAATACATAATGAGAAGATTTTAAAAACATAGTAAACTAAAATAACAATATCATAGTAAAATATATAGATTAATTTTTTGCTATATTTAAAAACATTGTGCACCAGGTCCAAGCCAGTTCAAGCCAGTTGGTGTTTGTACAGCTATAAAAAGCCACAATCATGATAGGTTAGAATTAGTCATTTCTGAATGCCTGCTTCCACATTTATGTTTTCAGTTCTGGGCGCCTGTCTGATTTCCTTGGGAAGGGCATTCCAGAGCCAGGGAGCCACTACAGAGAAGGCCCTTTCCTGCGTTCCCACCAGCTGCGATTCTGAGGGTGGTGGGACTGTAAGAAGTGCTTCCCCAGAGAACCTTAAGGCTGGAAGGGGTTCATAGGGGAAGACGCAGTCATGCAAATAGGCTGGACCGTAAAGGGCTTTATAGGTGATAACCTACACTTTGAATTCGGCCTGGAAACTCACAGGCAGCCAGTGGAGCTCCTTTAACAAGGGGGTGGTATGCTCCCTGTAGACAGCTCCCGTTAGAAATCTGGCTGCTATCTTTTGCACTAATTGTAGTTTCTGAACTGTATTCACGGGCAGCCCCACATAGAATGTTTTGCAGTAATCCATCCAAGATGTAACTAAGGCATGAATCACTGTAGCCAGATCAGACTTTTCAAGCGCAGTTGGCACACAAGTCTTAATTGTGCATAAGCCTTCCCAGTCACCGTCGATACCTGAGCTTCAGGTGTCATCACTGAGCCCAGGAGGACCCCCAAACTGCGGGCCTGACTCTTCAGGGGGAGTGTAATCCCATTGAGCACAGGTAACCACCCTATACCCCAATCAACCAAGAGGAGCTATTCCATTTTTAAAAGCAACCTTGTCCTGTTTAAGATAAAATCAGAGGATACGCTGAAGTTTGTTTGAAACTCTGGAATATTTTGGACTTAGGGGCAATTTGGACAGGTATCCGGTGGCGCAGTGGGTTACAGCACTGAGCTGCTGAGCTTGTTGATCAAAAGGTCGCAGGTTCGATTCCGGGGAGCGGCGTGAGCTTCTGCTGTCAGCCCTAGCTTCTGCCAACCTAGCAGTTCGAAAACATGCAAATGTGAGTAGATCAATAGGTACCACTACGGCGGGAAGGTAACGGCGCTCCATGCAGTCATGCCGGCCACATGACCTTGGAGGTGTCTACGGACAACGCTGGCTCTTCAGCTTAGAAATGGAGATGAGCACCACACCCCAGAGTCAGACATGACTGGACTTAATGTCAGGGGACTGCCTACCTATCAATCCAAAGCAGACCAATCAAGTGTCCAGGTTGGAAACTGACGTTATCACACAATCCTTGCACTGATTATCATAGAGAAAAGAGATGGATCATGGCTGTGTTGTCGCTGTCAACACTCCAAGCTGTCTACAGAGCTCTATCTGAGTGTCTCACCTTTCTGCTGCATGCATGACTAGCAAGAAGGATGAGAGATCAACACCCTTCTTGTTGATTGTTCAGGTGTCCTGTTCTGATATTGCAGACATGACTGCAGTGGCCAGGCGCTTGTCCAGAGCATCAGAGCTTTCTAGGAGCCATGGCAGCAACACAGAGAAGGTGACAGCCCAGCAGGGCAAAGGTGGTCCTAGGCCATCTGGACAATGGCCTCAAATACCATACTTAAATATTTGATCCAGCCAGATTTACACTAGGCTAACCTGCCTGGCGTAAACGAGCCTATATTAGAAATATATGGAAGTAGTATGAGAGAATCCAAGCAGCAGGATGAAGAATGGTAGCGAGAAGGACAGCAGTACCACTATGGAATCAGATGCTGTCCCCAGAAAGAGACTCCAACCTATACTTGTATTAGTAAAACTTTATAAACTCTAAACCAGGGGTCCACAAACTTTTTAAACAGAGGGCCAAGTCACAGTACCTCAAATTGTTGGTGGGCCAGATTATAATTCGAAAAAAAAATACGAATGAATTCCTATGCACACTGCACATATCTTATTTATAGTGCAAAAACATTTAAAAACAATACAATAATTAAAATTAAGAACAATTTTAACAAATATAAACTTATTAGTATTTCAATGGGAAGTGTGGGCCTGCTTTTGGCTGATGAGATAGAATTGTTGTTGTTGTTGTGTGCTTTTAAGTAGTTTCATACTTAGGTTGACCCTAAGCGAGGGCCGGATAAATGACCTTGGAGGGCTGCATCCATGAGGACCCCTGCTCTAAACCTTTGAACATGAATCCTGTACAAATATCAGTGGGCATAGTGGATCCATAAATTGTATATTTATGCACACACATGTTTGCGCACACACAGCCATGTCACAGTTAGAGATGGGAAGGCCTGGAAAAAAACAGAAAAATTGGGGAAAACCCAATTGTTTTCTTTTTTCCCCACAACTATTTTTTTTCTGAAAAAAAATTGAAAAAAATGTGTAGAAACAAAAAGTCTCTGAAAATTTTCATTAAGGTCTTTGGTTTATATACTTTGAATACCAGGTCATAGATATATTATTTGTTATTGTAAAAGAACCTATTCTATACACTTTTCCATTTTTCTGGGGGTGGGGTGGCTTTGGGACAAAAACTGAAAAAAATGTTATTTTCCCTAATTTTCCATTTTCCCCAGGCCTTCCAATCTCTAGTCTCAGTGCATTCTATCAAAGTGACATGCCTTTGCATCAGTCCTTTAGTGCTTCAGTTGTCTCTATTGACACAAAGAAATTGTTCATCCCTATATTACTATTGCATAAAATGTGTAAACATACAGTGGAAGGTATGACACAAGATAATGCATGTTTTGTGTCCTTTGAAGAAAAACATGCCCAGCTCCCTCTTGAAAGTTGGATACTGCAACATATTATTTAACAAATATACCGACCGGTGTAAATGTCAAGAGTGTGGGCAACACTGGAAAATGAGCTGTTAGAATGTTTTGGAAAATGGAAATCTCAATAACCTTTTGGAGATTTTATGATCTTTGGAAAGGCATGAGCTTGTTAGAAGTCATAACCTTTTGAAAAATGATGCCATAGCCTCTTGGTAAAAAGCATGATCCGTTAGAGCAGTGGTCCCCAACCTTTGGTCCTCCAGGTGTTTTGGACTTCAACTCCTAGAAATCCCAACCAGCTTACCAACTGTTAGGAATTGTGGGAGCTGAAGTCCGAAACACCTGGAGGACCAAAGGTTGGGAACCACTGTGTTAGAATCATAACCTTTTGGGAAATTATGCAAGGCAATCAAGTTTCTCAGCTGTTAAACTGATGTACCTAGATATTTCTTTGAACGGTTAGGGACAAATATATGCCAATGGACAAAAGACATATATACACACCAGAGCTTCAGAAGTGTTATTTTTAGTTGCCCAAAACATCTACTCTCCTTTAAAATATATTTACCTTTAAATCATCCTCTCAAGAGACAAAAAAGCAGACTTCTTTAAAAGTAAGATAGTTGGTTTACTCACAAACTTTATGTATTCAGCATATAGGTACTTTGCTTATCAGTCCAGTTACAGATAGGTTTTGAAGTAGTTTGTGTAGATAACACAAGGCATCTTTATTGATTCAATAGTCCATAATCTAAAGCATCTCTCTGTTCTGAGAGTCTAATAGAGTCTCTGTCTAATCTGAAAGTCCAATGGAGTCCCTAAGCATACAGTTCCTACTAAAGTCTAAAGGTATACAATTCTAAAAATTGAGTCTGAGTCCTGAACAAGCCCAGATCTGATCACATGGTCTGCAGCCCCTCCCACAACAAAGAGTTTTTAAACTGAAAAACAATACACACATATACAATACAGTAAGCAATCTGAATTATATACATAACAAATAACTAGTGGAGGCTTGAAGAAGGTTACTATTTCCAACAAAATAAGAACTTAAGTAAGAAAAGTGTAACAGTTTTGAATGATAAACAAGGGATACAATGAATTGATCTTTTCCTGCACCCACATACAGTTTCAATCTTACTTTGCTCAGATAATGCTTGGAGATTTACACAGAGACAATATACTGGGAAGCAAATGTCTTGTGATTAAGAATGCCGCACTTCCAATCTCTGGTCTATTTTGTTCAGATTTCCTCAATTGCTAGACATTTCATTCTTATTTTGGCAAGAAGCCACTGTCAGGACACAATATGGAGATATAATATAGTCTTCACAACTAATAGGAACAAATATTTTGTATTGAATTGTTTCCAGTTGGCAAGTGCCTTTTATCACCCTATCTTTTTAATTAATATGCAGAAGACATATAGAAGAACAGATTCAGAGGAAAAAGATGTAAAAATTCAGGAAAGGAATGTAACTATGTAAGGTATTCCGATGACTTCATATTGCTAGCAGAAAACAACAAGAATTTGGCATAACTATAGATGAAAGTTAAGGAAGAAAGTACAAAAGCATAGTTACAGGCAAATATTAA